GGAAACAATTCAGGGATAATACCTATAAGTCATATATAAGTTATTGGAATTAGGACTGAAAACTGCGTTTGAAGTTTGTGATAACCAAAAATCGATGTATGTAACATTTCCACGTTTGCATTTAATTGTTATTAGGCATCTTTTTATCAATTCTGCTTATTCAGCCAAACCGTGTGACGTCATTTAATCACGTGATAATCCTAGTAAAGCTACTCATTTGGCATGGTTATCATACACCAAAATAACCTAGAGGAATCAATGTTGTTAAAAATAAGTGTGAGAATTTGTCCCTCGTTTTGGTACCAAATGGCTCTTTCCAGGGTCCTGGCCCATGGACTATGTTGGTGGTGTTTACTTCCACTACTCTGTCCTCTATATCCCAAGGATAGGAGGAGGGGGGGTCATTTTATGGCCATGTTGGTGGTGCTTAGTTCCAATACTCTGCCTTCTACATCCCAAGGTGAGGAGTGGTAGGAAGGGTTGTTTCATGGCCATTTAGGTGGTAGTTCCACTGCTCTTTCCTCTCTATCCCAAAGGGAGGTGGGGGAGGGGTCATTTTATTGCCAGGTTGGTGATGTTTAGTTCCACTACTCTGCCCTTTATATCCCAAGGGGAGGAGTGGTGGGAGGGGGTTGTTTTATGGCCATTTAGCTGCGAGTTCCACTGCTCTATGCACCAGACACTGTTCTGTCTTCTATATCCTAGGGAGTCTGTTATATGGACATTAAAGTGGTAGTTCCACTGCTCTGTCCTCTATATCTCAGGGAGTGGTATTCCCTTATTTTGGTCTACACAGGGACATGCCGCTAGACAGGGTATGGTTTTCTGGCCTCGCTGTCCTGATCAGCATATACAATAGACCATTTTTGTATTCTCGGTATAGGACTGGAACCAGCTTGCAACTGAGGCTAATGCAGGGAGTCTTTTTAATGATATATCCTGCATGAACCTCCATTGCAAGCTAGTTCCAGTTCAGTACCAAGAATACGAAAATGGCCTATTTTACTTGCCTCTGTCCTAAACAGGGTTGGAGCCTAAATCAGATTGATGACAAGTGCATATTGGCAGAATAGATCGTGAATGGTAAAAGAAGAGAGTGACTGTATATTTTGTCACTGGTCCCAAACAGAGTCTTAAAATAAGAGGTGTCGTCTTACACAGGGTAGGTTTTTAGAGTAGTTTTGTCTTAAAAAGGGTCAGGATTTCAAACCCCCAGTGGCACCCCTATACTCAAAGATGGGTCGAGTGGCCCCCCCCCCCCCCCCCCCCCTCTCCCCCTACTCTTTATATCTATATAGAAGACAAACCAGTGGAACTTAAAACCACCTAAACAAATGGCCATATTTAATTAGCCTGGAAACCATCTTAACATCTTCTCACTAAACCTAGTAGCTCACTTCACGTCCTAATATCTGCTAAAAATCCAGAGTTTTTAAAACCAACTTCTCTTTAACCAGGTCCTTTCTGATGAGTATGTATAAAAAGTAATAGACACGAAAACATTCCAGAAGCAGAACACAATAATGGCAAGATTCTTCCTTGTTATAATACAGAAAACAAATTAATTTTGCCATTTTTAACAATACTTTCAAAAGTAAAACTAACAATTCAACATATATAAAACATTTGCATTTATCAGTTACAACAGATAAGCTACCTGGAAATAAGAAGGAAAAAACTTACATTTAAACCAGGTTTTTAAAATGATCTGATACCTTCAAAAATTAATCATAGTAAACTATTCTTTCTCAAAAAAAGTATTTTTCTACTTGAAATTAATTTCATTCAGTACGTAAAAACGTTAAGCTACAATTTTATTAATTAAAAATAGTAAAACTTGACATCACAAGCATGTCCTGTAAGAGAAGACAAATATAATATTATTACAAATAAATGTTTTATATTTACTTAGTTACATTCAGGAGTAGTTATAAAATGGTCAGGTCTGTGAGAGTTTGTTACTACCAGTTGTGATATAAATTGAAGCAGAGTTAATGATGGTAGTTAAGCTTTTTGCATGAATGGAACTCGGGAAAACGGGAAAAAAGTAAACAACAAAAAACTTTCCTAAGAAGTGGGATGTTCAAGTGATTCAATTTAGTCTCCTCAGGGATTTGGAAATTCCTATACTGTGCAGTTGTAAGCTCCCTGGAATCCCCCATAAATTATATAATTCACTGTAGTGATATCCCCATAGTTTCTCAGGGGTGTAGCCAGGATTTTTCAAAGGGGTGTCACACTGTCAAAGTGAGGGTACTCACCAGATTGTCATGTCGTTTTTCGCCAACTGTTGTAGGTTGTTTGCTTAAAAACGCTTACAAAAGGGGGGTCATGGGCACCCCAGACCCCCTTAGCTATGCCCTGGTTTCTGCACCCTGTAGAGGAGGGAGGAGTACCTTACCTAAAAAGCCCAAAGGGTGTGTGTCACCCCAATTGGTCGTCTGAGAGGGTTTCCCTACCCAGGTGCAAAAATTATTAGTGTTTTGTACCTCTGTATTTTCTTGGTCAGCTTACAGAGAGATCCATCATTGCTGATGTCATTTTTAACAGTTTTCTTTAAAAATATTTAGCATATTAGCTTTCGTGCAGAAAAGGCATTATGAAAAATAATGAATTGACTCTGTGAAACTTAGAAATTGAAGCAATTTCTGGCTCTTTGAGGGTAACTTCCAAGGAAAAATTGGCTATCAAATACTGCAAAATCTCTGGGTAGCAGAAAAGCACTAATGAGCCCATACATTCTTTGTAGTGTTTTTTACCCCACAATTCACACAAGTAGTATTCAATACACCGGGCTCAAATTCCCTGGGACGGTTATAATATTGTACTTTGCCCCTCCAATACCCAGCACTGACATTTTTGTAGCCAAATTGAGGCAAATATTGTAAACAAAGATTTCCCTCTAAGAACCTAAAGAGATGTCTACGTCTACCCCTGCACATTTAACACTGACCTAGTGTAACTATGAGTTTTTTTTCTAAATATATAATTGTATATATTTTTAATTTAATTATTTGTAATTCCTGAATTATGTATATGCTTTTTTTGCATTTGAATTCGAATGAAATCAACAGCTGGAAGAATCAAGTGTTTTATTGGGTTCGTAGTTTGCATAGTAAACAAAATAAAACAAAAGCAGTGAAGCGGGGAAAATGAAGCGTGAAAGTTCAATATAGATAAATTAATTAAAAAAATAAAGACTGACCGAGTACCTCAGTATTCAAATGTAATAACTTAAACTTATAATTATGTATGGTTGAAGTTTGACCACAGAAATCAGAACCTCTTGCCTGTGATTTTCTCAGCGTGTTTTCGATCAGTCATCTTCATCGTCGTCACATTCGGGATAGAAAATACTCCACTCGTCTAAGAATTCGGCTAAATTTTTTCCCAACAATCCACCAATGTAGATACTTGGAGCCAAAACAAGGAGTAATTTTGTGGCTCCTATCCTTGTCGACGTAGGTTCTTGCTTTATGTGACTTGAAACTGAAGCAGTTCTTGTCCGATGTAATGATTTAGAGCACAAAATATTACGTGCTCTTGAGATGCTCTGTCTTATGCAAATTGCGAACATTGTCCTTGTTGGCAGGCACTTCTCTTGTTCTTCCTTGGCCAGGGAATGCTTGAGTAGAATGCCTATGAATGAGTACAACAAAGAGTTTAGAAGAGATGACGATGGGCCACTTTCAAAGAATTAACTGTCCACGGGGAGTAATCAGGCCTTTTTTCCGCCCTGGGTCAGTGCATGACAACTCTCGCCCTAATATTTGTGAATGAAACCCGCGGGATTTACGCGGGATCATTAAGCCTTACCGAACATCTTCCGACAATTTATCGAGGAAGTTTCGTCATCCCTCGTTATCATCGGAGTAAAATATTCCCAAGGAGCCTTGCGGAGTGGGATTGTTTCGTCTCGTGCTCTCAGTACGTCTGGATTTTCCGGTCGCAAGCGGGTTCATCTTTAGTTAGTTTACGGTTTTTAGAGTGTATTAATGGTGCTATAGTTTTCTTTGTTTCTTTTTCTTTCTCGCTTCGTTTTTGTTGTGAAATTAGACAGGTTTTGTTTTTTTTAAGTGTACAAAAATGTCTAGCTGACTCGGAGTCCTTGTCGTCGACGTGACGAAGTGTTAGCGATTTGGCTCGTCGTTTCGTTTTCACCTTGAATTTAGATATTATCCTAATGTCTTGTATTCACTACAAGTTTCGAAGTGCTCTAGAATATGACACAATTACATTCGACGGGCTTTCTATCTCGCTCGCCGACCTCAAGCGGTCTATTATTACTCAGAAGAAGTTCGGAAAAAATTCCGACTTCGACTTGGAAGTTACAAATGCCCAAACTAAGGAAGGTGAGGTGTTCTTTGTACACGTTGTCTTTTTCGTTTAGTAATCATCCGTTAAAACTGTGTGGTTCGACATGTAGTTGGTTACAAAAAAAGTGGTCAATTTGTGTGAAGACTTGCGTCGTTCCGTTTGAAAGTGACATGAGGTGGCCTGTAAGCTGTTTTAGCCTATGTTTTATTAAGTTTGATGATGTATTGAGATCAAACGGTTAACGTTGATCAGGTTTATCAGGTTGATTGAGTTTTCTCGTTTTCAGTTCAGCTAGTGGTAAACTTTTCCAACCAATATCAAACATGATTCAAGTATGGTTGATTTGGTTGAAGTTTGCCAAAAGAAAAAAAAATGTTGAAATTACAGTTCTTATATAAGTTTTCTGAACTCATCTGAAAAGGAAGGAGTAGACCAAGCCAACCGATTAGTCGAAAATTACCCAGTAGAACATGGCCCAACAGTTACTAACCATTTCAAGTTAGAATGGCTGGGAAAGAAGCAATTTTTTAATACCTCTGTGCTTGTTGACAGTATATTTTAACCAGTATATTTTACCAGTCCAGCTGTTCTATCTACAGCTGTGTAGGCAAGGAAAATGAAATTTTGTGTTCTTGGGCAAGCTGATAGAAGCAAGCTGACTTGCTTAGCAAAATCAAATAAATTTCCCTTACATGAAACACATGTAGTAGTAGTAATGACGCAACACAAGGCATTTTCTCAGATTGTGTTGTTCCAGAAAATATCCATACTCCTCCCACAGAGTATTTTTTGGGGGTTTAACCCCTCCTGATACACATATTTAGTTCAAAGGCTTTGATGATTAAAATCTTGAGAAGATCATACAGTAGCTTATTTAAGGGCAGGCACATGGACATAGCAATCAGAAATTTAGCAGTTGGTAATATTGTGAAAGCTGCTAGTGAAAATTTTGAGCACGACTGGCCAATTTGCTGTTAGCTACCTCATGATGAAATTCTTGCTTGGTTCCATCTGTTTGCTCAGTAATCACAACCTAATACATTGCTAGATAATCTTAGTCAAAGTTGTCAAGTCATTGATGGTGTATTTATTTATCCTTCTGGTAGAGTATAAAGATGAGATGACAATGATACCAAAGAATTCCTCTGTGGTAGTGCGCCGCATTCCTGTTGGACCAAAGAGCAAAGCACAACTGGCAGCGTAAGTTCTGACACTTCTTGTAATGTAGCATTTCTCCCTGGTTCATGAAGTGGTGTCCTGGACTCGGTATATTTCTTCAAGTAATAGTGACAACAATAATTGTTATATCAAAATTTATTATCCTGTAGTATCCTTTCCAGTCAAAAGGAAGAAGCCTTTTGACTAGTTCATTAAAATGTGTATAAATTATATTATATCATCTTCAAATTAATGAATGTCTCCAAATGATGCCATATGACGCTTGATCTGTGTAAATGTATTTACTTTCAATATTGCCAGTGTTTCAGTTACTGTACAGTCACAAAAAGGATTGACAGCCTCTAAACATGTCAACCATATCACTTCCATTCATATGAATGGTAAAACTGCAGTATAAAATTTATACAACCAAAATTTTGTTGTGTAACTTAGAAACACTACAGCATGGAATTTGTATAGTGTACAGTGTTTTGCCCAACTATTGGACTCAGTTAATCTTCTTGCCAAATAAAGAGTGGCAATAGGCATTTGAAATGTTGCAATTGGCATTTCAATTGCCAGCATGGCAATACAAACTTGATTAATCAAGAGAAACTGGTAGCTCAGTTTGGTAAAGTTTTGAGTTAACAAATGCATCATCTTACAATGGAATGTCAATTTTACTCTCCAGGGAAAGATCATCTCCTTTTTCAAGTGGAGAGCAGAAAACAGTATGTACATGGTTGAAGAATAATTTTGTAATCAAATTAAACCTGTGCTATCTCTTTTAAAACAGTAATTGTAAATTGTAGCTTGTATTGATTTATGATAATATGGTCACACAATTTTAAAGGAACACTGTCTTTTCTTTAAAGCACAACTTCAATAAGTACAAAAATATGCCTGGATTGCAGAAAAACTCCAAAATTAGAAAGGGAGAGTTTGTTTTCATGTTATTGAGGATGGAAAGTAGTTCCCATAATAGTTGTAAACGGACTCGAAAACATCACGCTTGGTCTAGTAGCTTTTGAGTTCAGATCTATCAGGTTCATTGTTTTGCAACTTAAAGGAAAGGCTTTCTGTGACCATTTAGAGTTGTTAAATCCTGTGAACTGAAAAAAATGAATTCCTCATTTTGTGGCAGTTTTAAGCAAATAACTGATGACGGTGCTCCTTTAAGGCTGATTTTCACATGTTTCAAGAAAATCCCAGATGATCAGGCATTAATTTTTCCTGATGGTCCTTTCTCTTGTGCTATGGAGAACACATTTTAATTTTAAGCTTCTTGGGAAATTTAAATCAAGCATAAAAGTATGGCACTGTACCAAGCTAACATACCATATTTCTTTGTCTATAGATTGCACCTATTTTTCAAAAAGATGCATGTAAAATTGGATGCAGCTAACATGTGGTATAAATCAAAAGTATTTAAATTGATGGATAAAATTTAGAAATTGTATTGCTATACTTTGCATTCTTTGAATAAACTTAGCCAAGCTGCATGCTCCTTTGAAAATGCTTGAAGTCGTATTTTTCCAAGAAACATAGGGTTATACATGAGTGCAACCTATATACATGCTAATATGGTATTACAGAGAACTCAGGTCATCATATAATGTTTGTTTTCATCATGGTGATTGTGGGCTGTTGCAGATATCTAGGACAAATGTTCTAGAAGCTATTATTGTTATCTGTAAATCACAGAATATCCCAAAAGATCACAGATTTATAGGGTCATCATGTTTTCACCAGCTTGGGATATCTGGGATGGCTAGGAAACAAAATTTAAATTGTCTGGGATTTTCCTGACATTTGAAAACCATGCTTTAAATTGCTGGCATTGAGTATTCTGTATACTAAGAATACCAAGTTCGTTGCTTCTTTTGCCAGATGATTCTCACAGTCTTCATTTTAAACAAGTACTGTATATTAAGTATACAAGTAGTTCAGTTGCTAAGCTTTTTTTAAAACACTGTTTTTAGTGATGTATCCCTGAGTTTAGGTGGACAAATGATCACACATGGAGTGGGAGTTTTGAATTTGAAGCAATCCTGCTTTTAAGGTGTACTAAGAGTGTCTGGTTCTCAGATATATGTATAAAATTGTCTAAGATGTTTTAAAGGGGGTGAACTACACTGTAAGTTAATGAAGGCTTTTTGTTGTGAAGCTAGGGAATGTACTAAATGCATTGCCTCTCTTTTAGCTTTGCCTTGACAGTAATAAATATATTTTACACTTGAAAGAGTTTTGATTTTGAGTGTAGATATTAAAAGTTATATATGCAAATGGACACTTCAGTCAAAGAACTCTTCTTCAGTCTATGTGTCAGAACTTTACACATTCCCAGTTTCACTGGGCAAGAAATCAGAACTTTGTTCTTGTCACATTGTCTCAAAGGACAGTCGCAAATATGGAAAGATACATTCCCTTTTCAAGAATGTTTCCTTGCAATAAATGTCTTTATCCATTTCCAAGTTGGATATTTGCACCTTTGATTATTTGGGGCACCCTATTTGATCTTCTCATTAAGTGATGTGTGGAGAAGTTGCCAGAATTATTATAGTACGGATTACAGCACTAAAACTGTGGCAAAGCTGATCATCTATGATAGCCCAGGACAATGGCTCATCTCTGTTTGTGCTCAAAGAAGAGCTTACCAACAGCAATATATGAAGGTGCTTATATGTACAGATATGGAAATTCATAGGAAATCTGGAATATCTAATGTTATGGCCTTACACAGCTACTGGCAGGAAGAGAGATAATGGAGATTCTGATGTTCCACTAACACTGTCATTGTAACACCTCTAAATAATTGCATGGCAGAAAGTATGGAAACTTTCTAGAAGAACAAGGAATTTCCTTCCTCAACACAGCCCCTTTCTGTTTAGCATGTACATTCAAGTTCTTTGAACTCCCATGATCATGCAAGTAACCTTGTGCATGTGAACAGTTGAAGACAGCTTATTACACTGGAAGGGGCTGATAGTACCACAAAGATGTATCCAAGTCCAAGGTTTCGTTGATCAACTCTTCTGGCAAGCACTATTCTATGATACCAAATTTGCCATGTGCAAAGAGGAGATGAGGTTTCCTTATTAAATCTAGTCTTTATCCAGGGTTGCCTTGCAAGCTGACCCACTCTGAACATTACCGTTAAAATAGCTGAAGGACTCTGCTTAAATGATAAGGTTATCACATGTTAACTGGGTACACTAGAGCAGCAGACTGTATTATTTGTCCCAAAATTTCAAATTGTGAGGTGAATAACAAGTTCATTCAACCATTGCTTGATGATGCTCAATATGCAATTGAACAGTCAAAGTTTGAATGAAAGCATTGATTATTGTCCTGGATTAATAGAACTTATAAATTGTCCCTTTAAAGCAGAACCCTTTAGCTGTTTTGACTGCAAAGCTGAGGCTGTGCCACATTGCTATATCTCCTTTCTAACCAGGATAAGAAAGACTGGAGATCATTCAGTGGGTACAAACTGAGTTGTACATCAAACGGGAACAAGTGTGCATGGCCGCATATCATTTCAAAAAAAGCAAAAACACAGTCATATGGAGTGATGTGTCAGTGATGCAATAACTTACGACAAGTCTATGGCGCAACAATGGTTGTGTAAGACAGGACAAAATATTGTACGAAAATGAAACAGGTTTTAGAAACATACGACAGTTAGCATCAGATAAAATAATTGCATGACACAAACAGAATGGAATGGAGGTTACAACTGTATAACTGGTTTCCATACAATTGCATACACACATTTACCATCATACAATCCACTTGGATTTTGTGGGTAAAACTGTGTTGCATGCAGTGCGCTAATGAAACGTCTACTGGTAAATGACATGACAACTGACGTGTAGGACAGGAAAAATACTGAAGATCAATGTTGTCAATGTTGCATTACTTAAACAATATGGAATGTAGGTTAAGCCTGTAAGCACAAGCGCAAGCACAAGCACAAGCAAAATCATCTGAACCGTCCGCCATTTTGGAAAACTGATCAGGTGCAAGGTAATCTAGATCCAGTGTTTTCATTGGCCAAACAGAACCATGTGTGGGAAATATCTTCGTGCTTGTGTTATGCCTGAGTGGTATTTTGGTTTTACTTGTTGCAGTGCAAACGTGAGCATCAGCACAAACACAAGAAAAAGGAAAAACCTGATTCTTGTGCTTGTGCTTGCACTTGTGCTTATGCCTGCGTCAAGGCATTTTTAACAGTGAAATAAGAATTTTGTGTTTGCATCTGTGCTTGCTCTTGTCCTTGCGTCGCTAGTGAAAACCAGACTTTACAGCTGTAAGCCAGGTTTCCATACTATTTCAGACAACTGCAGTGCACTGTAGATGATCACAGGATCAAACATCAAAAATTTGTCATTCATAACAAAGCATGCATTTGCCAACATAAATTGGCCCAAAGCAAAGTATACAAGCTCTTCATTTGCCCAGGTTCATATGGATAGCAGGCTTTAGACAGACTCTTCTTTGGAAAGGAAATTGCCCTGATGTTTTGTCTTAATCCATTTGAGCAATCACAACCCCCTTTTAGGGCATCCTTTGTGTAGGGTTACTATAGTCACCTTATTAAAAAGTACATTACGTTTCTGCTTTGTTTTGGTCAGTATTGAAACAAAGTCAAAATGCATTTTAATTGTAAAGATTACAAGCACATGGATTTGTCATAAAATCATGTGGGGGACTGGTGATTTATGAAATGTTGCAAAATTTGGCAAAAAAAGGTAAAATTATGAGAAAAATAGGAGACATGCTTTAGCTGTTTCCAGCTACAAGGAGTTAAAACATCACAGCAAGCTTTAGAAGAATGTTAAGCTAGCAGAAATTCAAGTGGATAGGATAATAGAATGTTGAATTTATGGAGTAAATTGGTTTATTGGAAAATACAAGATTTTATTTTTTCAATTACTAACTCTTTGTTTTGTAAGAGCACAGGGTTGTATGTAATGACTGATGCTTGTAGTTGAATTGTCTCTTATTGATGGTTGTTCCTTTTCACGTCTGTTCACCAAGAGTGGTTTCCAAGATTATCAAGTTATAAAATCCAACAAGCTGAGCAAGGTAAAATCATGCTAATCACAGCTAACTATAGGTATTAGACGGATTGTAGGATTTCTTACCATGCCCTGTTGGGAGAAAATAAGATTGACTATTTAATAAGCACCCCCCGCCCCCCTGGCTTATCCTAAATGTGAAATAACCCCTCTGGACTTTAATTGGAGGATTTATGGTATTAATTTTCATTTTCACATATCTTTAGTTTGTTCTCCTTTCAAAATATCAAACTCTTGTTTGGAGTCATGTGTCAGGGTCAGGGTATTTGTCATATGGTGTAGACTGTTGCCCTTACTTCCTAGGTGGCAGATTTGGCTAATGCCGATGCATCCGAGGAGGACAAGTTAAAGGCCATGATGAAACAATCTGGAGAGGATTGGGACCCTTCACAGTGAGTCAACACACACGTGACACCAACCAAAGGACCCTGCTGGGTAGTGGGCATCTGATAAAATAGACTAGATGCCATCCCCCCTCTTCCCCAGCTTTGACCTTCTATATTTTCTCCACTCCAAACTTTGAGAATACGTGGTCATTACATGAAAGGAAATGCTCATGCAAAACATAAACAGGCATCTGAGTATTATTGATAATAACATTATAAGAGAGTACATTGTTACATAAATGTTTAGGGAAGATAAGTAAACCTGTTGAACATACTTTCATTTTCTTTGGTTCTTTTTCAAAACAATGCGTGGTGCTGTTTTCTTCACTTGTACATTTAGTAATATTCTGAATGTTGGAAAATCTCTGACTTTTATTTTGACAGATATGTGAGAGGGCGTCGACCTTATGCACCAGGTGTGCCTCTATCTCAGAGCTATGTGTGTTTTAGATGTGGTAAACCAGGACACTTCATTAGAAACTGTCCCACTAATGGGGTGAGTGGAGGAAAGCTTACACTTGAATTATATGAATGTGAATGTGTTCTGCAGGGTAGTGTTTTTTCTCCGTGCCACTGTGGTCAGATTCAGAAGGCCTTTTTGAAAATCATTGGTTTTCACTTGAGTGTGGAAACTATTTTGCATTTGCTTTGGTTTAGCATCGCTGCCTCAACCAATCAGTTTAAATGTCTTGTGCCACTTTGTCATCCAGTCAGTAGTTAAACCAGAATCAGTGGTGTCTCCTTTGCACATGTTTTCCAGTGTTTTATGCTGTCTACATGTTTTCAAGGTTTGATTGGTTTACTGGATTGTCTCTGTTGGTGATTATTTTGATATTTACGGTTTTATGACACTAAGCTGAAAAACACTCTACCTATTTATGACTATTTATGATAATAATTGCAGTAACTTAACATTATGTGCAAATTTTAATAGGATGTTAGATTTGATGTTCCAAAGATGAAACGCACCACTGGTATTCCTCGCACTTTTCTTGGCACATTAGAGGACAGGTCATCGCCTACAAACAGGTCTTCACCATCAACTCAAGGGTAAGTAGGTGTAAGTTAAATTCACAAATAATTTCAAGAAGATATATTTCACCAAGGATGTAATATTTTCACTTTTTATTGTTAAGTTTAGAAAATTCTTGTAATATTATGTTATGAGTATCAAAGCATCTTGAGTAACAGTTTGGATCAATGCCGTTGCAGCGAGGATTCCAAACCTAAAGAAAAAGGCACGGAACCTGCTAATAAGAAAGTTCCTTCAGCTGAGACGGGTAACAAGAAAGTTCCTTCAGAACTTAGGTGCCCCTCTTGTAACAATTTACTGACAGATGCAGTGCTTATTCCTTGCTGTGGTACAAGCTATTGTGATGATTGTAAGTTGAACTGTTTTTCACATGTCTCGTTTTTTCAATACGATTTTTATTCTTTTACTCTTTTCTCTAGTTTCATTTTGTCCAGCTTCGGGAAGGCCCTCTCCTAGTAAAGGCCAGTCCTTATCTCTCAAAGCCCCAGACTGAAAGTTAAATGAGCTTTCACCCTTCCTGTTGAATTTGCTTTTCAATATAAACTTTGAACTTAAATAAACAAATTATACAACATTTATTGTGCCTTTTGTTTAAGGCCCTGAATGAGATAAAGTGAATCACTCATGTACACTCATTACACACAAAAATATAGTTAAAGATAAAAGTCATGTTGGCACTTAGCCAACTGGCCTTCTTTACTTTGTGTTACAGTATATACTGTGTTTATCTTAAATACTTGCGACAATCATTACAGGTGTTACAGTTTGTGGGCTGAACTAAGAGCACTTAGTCTAGTGTTAATTGGTACTGTGCTTTCTTTTGTTAGGTATTAGAAACTATCTTTTGGAGAATGAGCAAGAATGTCCATCTTGTGGTGCAGAAAATGTTTCACCCGATTCATTGGTAATCAACAAGCAGCTTAGACAGGTGAAGGACTATTTTTCTTGGTCTTTTTTTTATTTATTGCTCGTTTTTAATTCCTCTCCTAATAGTGAAGTACTGTATTGTCTTGATTAAATGTCATGTCCCAAGTAAATGCTGGTTTCAAATAAATGCCAGATGCACGAGGTTGAGTTTTAAATAAATGCCCCGGACATTTATACTAGGTACCAGTATTTATTTGAGGTTTAGCATTAAGTTATAGCTAACATGTATCATGTGACTTATTTTCATCAATCAGTGGCCATAATCATTCCACAATCTTTCAGATGAGCTGCAAACAAAGTAATTTGTTCGGCATAATGCACTCTTCGCTCACTGATGGGCACAAGTACCAAATTCTGTTTGACTCTTATTAAAGAGGAGTGTATGTTATGTTACCAGGATAAATGGTTTCATACAGTGGTGCCTTGAGTCTAAACTGCATTGTGTTCTTTCCTTGCAAAGGCTGTGAATACTTTCAAAAATGCCAGACCAGCCAGCCCCTTTCCAAGCCAGGCTGTGGTAACAAAAAGTACATCAGCAACATCAGTTACTGTAGCTAACAGCTCTGAGGTAAAACAACTTCAGTCAGCAGCAGTGGATACAACTGAAAGGTAAATGGACAACAATTATTAGTAGTATGTAAAGCAGCTATGTCTGGACTTTTCAGGTTTGTCCCCCAGTGGTGTCAATCTGCAGAGACAGATTTGTGGCACAAAAAGGAGTACCACAGGGTGAAACTCAACCTCCTTATAGAATCTTCTGTAGAGAGTTTTTCAGGGTTTAACAGTCAAATCCGTTAACTAAAGGACAACTCAATTTGACAGAAATTTTCTTTCATCTTTGACGGTGTGTTTTACATGTAGGCCGTCTTGCTTCTTGTGTGAAATTACATGGTTGCACTTTTTTGTTAGCCATTAGTCACAGGTAGACAAAGGTTAAGGTATGAAAGTGTTAGAGAGTCTGTTTCTGTTTTTTTGCAGTGCCAGTGAAAATGTTGTGTCGGACAGTAAACCACCTGAAAGTAAAGGTAGTTTCAAAGTTATTATTTTATACCTTTGGTCTTCCAATGGAATTTATTTGTAGTACAAAAGGTAAAAACATTGTTTCTTTGGGTATTATGTTGAATAAGGTTTGATCTTTTTCAGCAGTCAAACAAATTAATGATGCAGATAACAAGACAAAAGAAAGTTCCCCAAAGGTGAGTGCAGATAAACAGTCACTCCGTACCCTAGCAGAGAAAACCTCCTCTTGAGACATGGTAATTATCAAAAGAGGCCTGAAGAATGTTTATTTATTTTTGTGCTGTTTTATATTTAGGTTATCATTAAAAATTTATAATAAAATAAATTATGCCATTTATTTTGACACAGCCTGTCAAACAAGTGATAAGTCAGCCACAACAAATCAGAGTCCATCATCGTGATGGTCCACCACAACAAGGTACAATAGTAGTGAAGAATTAAACAGGTCGGCAATGCATACATGTGGTAGAGCAGTGTAAGGCTACAAATTGGTACACCCTACCCAAGACAAATACTTAATAGAACTTACTAAAAGTCAGGACTGCTTGCTATAGAGCAATAATCCAAGTTGCAAGAAGATCATTGCCTAATTTCAAAGGACTGAATTGAAGCCTAACTTAAGACATTTATAAGCTTTGTATTTTTTAAGTTTGTCCATTCTGTTATCCTCTTGTGTTATTGCCATTAATACTCCTACTGATGACTCTTGTCAGATTTTTAGTGCTGTTCTGTTCAATCAAACCATCATGGTTGTACTAGGTTTGTTGCCCGGCAGTGTTTTCTAACACAAAGCATTGTTAATAATTTTTATATAATAATCAAATGAATGCACGTGCTCTGATTGGTCAACCAGTTATTGTTTATTGTGCCAGTAAACTCATGGAAATTTTGCGTGTCTTCTGAATTATTATATAAAAGCAATAGACCACAAGTTTCTATGGTTTAGAGGCATGAGAAACCATTTGGGATGTTGGAAGAACACTCGAAGAATTCGTAAATCACGAGCCGCATTCTTCTCGTGTTCTTCCAACATCCCGCGCGGTTTATCAGCCTATAAACCATAAAAACTTGTGGTCTATTGCTTATGTAGCCACTTAACATTATAGCAGTGAAATCCAAGGATTTTTTTGTTTGATTCAGCTGCTGGACTACATCAGGGTGGTGCACCATTTGATCCTCGCAGAAGACCAGGTGATTTCCTTCCAAGGTAAAGTATTTCAAAACTTATGACCACCTGTAAAGATCAGTTTTGAAGCCGATAAAGGCTTTCTCATTAATAGACCATTTTAGCTTGGGCGGTTTGTTGCCCCATTTCAGACTATGTGATGATACTTTTGAGAATTCTTGCTTTCAGATTTTCAGATAGCTGCCTTTACCAGAATGAATAATTTTTAAATGAATAAAAGAACAATTCTCTAGAGAATATCATGTGGTTTGTAATGAGGAAACAAAACCGCCCACGCTAAAAAGGTCTATTGAGCTTCACTGGTGAAGACATAAGTTTAGAAATGAAGCATAAGGCTATGTCAAGCATATATCTTTGATGTTGACTTGAACTTGGTGATTTCCTCTTGCAGGGGTCCACCTCGGATACCTGAACCCATTATTCCTCACGGACTGCCCCCAGAACACGTGCCTCGTGTCCCAGCTGTCAGGCCAGGTATGGGTGGCCCACCTCACCCACGTCCACCCATGAAGGTACCCAATTATGTGCCTGCCTCGATTGGAGGCATGCATGCAGTAGCACCCAGGCCAGCTATTCCTCGAATGCCACCTGTCCCTACCTTAGTGGGGGCACCACTTCCGCACCGTCCACCTTTTGGACCACCGATGTTCGACCCACTCCACCACCCGTCCGATATACCAAGGTCTCTCACGCCACCTATGTCCGAGAGAGAGTTTTACAAAATACAAAAGAAACTGAAATCAAGGTAAATGAAACTAAACATTACCAAGTGGCAATATTTTAATTTAAGTTGTCGCACCTTGCCGGCTGTTGTGTTTTATTTCAATCTAGTCGGAGGAACTGGCTACGTTTTCTCGTTTCTACGATGCTTTTGCGGAAGATTTAAGGGTGTGAAAACAGCAGCAACTTTCAGACGACACTTCAATCCACGTACGATTTTCCTGAGGCGTGAAGATTAATACTAACTTAACGTGTAGAACAACACTGTCCAAAGAGGCGGGTCTGTGTCATTATTATGGAGGTAGCCGCATTATAGAGCAAGAGATTATATGAATTCTTGTTTCTCTGGGACTCGGTTAACTGTTCATAATATTTAGGTGTCAGTAGTATGGAGATGTCTGGAAGGAGAGGTTCGACTCTACTTGGAAATCCTTATTTGAAGGGAGTTTAGTTAGAATTCTACTAAAAAGAAATAGATTATCCGCCGTCGATTTCTATAAAGCCTCGTAGAAATCGAGAGCGAATAATCTAATTGTTGATTCGACACTCATCCAATGTTATGCAAATTCACATTTTTACAGAACCAAGAAGAAGCGAGAGCATTCTTCAGCCACTTCTTCCTCACGTCCCAGAAAGGAACCCAAGAAAGACGGAGGTAAATTCGATTTTGACGATGAACTTTCAGAATACCGTGAACTGCAGAAAAGTCGTCAACGTTTGCGCTCACGGTCTTTGACTCCATCACGCTCATTGTCACGTTCCCAATCACGATCGCGGTCGAGATCTTTCTCACGATCACGATCACGTTCCCGCTCACGTTCTTCAGCAAGTCTCGCGCGTTCACCCACGCCAGAGGGTTGGGACGAATCAAGATCTCCATCGCCAGTTCCGTCACGAAGTGGCACTGCTTCCGCAGAAGAGAAGAGAAGGAAACACAAGAAAAGAAAGAAAGAACAAAAGAGTAAAGGGCACAAGAAACAGAAAACATCGCACAAAGAGGAACAGCCTTCCACAGAACAGAAAGACGGGACTGCCGTTTTTAAGGAAGAAGAGAAAGGCACTGACAAAAAGAAGCGTAAAAAGCAAAAAGAGAAAGCTGCTGGCATAGAAGAAGAGAAAGATAAGCTCCTGGAAGTTGGGAAAGAAAAAGTTAAAAAGGAAGATAAGGCGAGTAGAGAGAAAGAGAAAGGGAAGAGAAAGGAGAAGGACAAGAAAAAGCTGAGTGATAAGGAGAAAGGAAAAGAAACTGAGAAACAAGGTGAAAAGAAAGAAGGAAAGAAGGGTAAAGAAGGAAAAGAGAAAAAGAAGAGGAAGGATAAGGACAAGAAGGACGAGTCGTCTTCTGGTAAGAAGCGAAAGAGTAAAAAGAAACACAAGAAGCACAAACGACACAAAAAGGAAAAATCCAAAGAGGAGAAAACTGGAGATGAAGACGATGATGAGAACGATAGGTTGGCGGCCAAGGAAGATGAAAATCAGGATGAGTCATCTGATGGCGATAACCATGAAGAGGAAACGGCGACAGATGATGAAAAAGACGAGCATGGAACAGACCAAGCTGAACTACAAGGTGAAAGCAGTGGCAGTGAAGAAACAGAACGGATGGACGAGGATGAAAGGGAAGGAGTTGGAAAAGAAAGTGATGATGAAACATTGGGAGGGCTGAAGGAAATTGACGAGGAAAAACTACTAGGGAACGGGAGCGACGACGAGGAAGAACAAGAAGAAAAGATTGAAAAGAAACTGGGAGGAAATGGCAGTGACATTGAAGGGGATCAGAGGGAGGAGAAGTTGCTTGAGAGTGATAAGGAAAATGATGAGCAAGAGGCCGAGGACAAGCTGAAAGGGGATGAAAGTGATAGTGAAGAAGAACAACGGTTTAAGGGAAGCGATGAAAAACAACTTGAAAGCAGAAGTGAGGAGGAAAATGACACAGACGGTGGAAGGAATAAGGAGAAACAGGGGGAAGATGGCGGACTTGTGGTGGGAAGGCAAGAGAATAGGAGTGACAAAGAGACAGCGACTAGACCGATAGGAAAGACTACAAACGGCAAAAATGAAACAACGAATCATGATCACATAAGCCTTAAGACAACTGAAGAGGAAAACGGTAATCATAAAGTAGAACAGTGAGAGAATCAGGAAATAACTAGAGAAAATGAGAATCACATGTACACGGATAAAGCATACAGAAGAGTGAAGTACTTGCTGAGAATATATTGTTCGCACAAGAGGAGGTACGAAAATGGTAAAATGTCTAACGTTGCGTGCTGAAGAAATCCATTTAGCTTAAAGCAAAATAATGGAAGGGCGAACACTTCTAACCCTAAAATCAACATACATATCCTCCCAACTGGCCACCGTAAATCGGTTATCATACAAGATGGGAAGATTTGATGTGTGAGGTTTTCTCCTCGGTGATCAGTTTCCTAATAACTGTTTCTTGTATTAATTTTGCAAGGAGAAATAAGATTCTGATCACCAGATAAAGTGGGGGCTAATAAAGTGTCTCAAGATTAGCATGTCCATATGATGTAAGCAGCTAACTTGGTGAGTAAAAAGGAACACGAAAGAGGAAAAGTGTGTATAGTAAGCTAGAATTATAATTTACTGTAACAAACGTGTAGTCAAATGTCTGTAACTTCACTGTAAAAACAAAACAACCACACAGAATATAAACGTTTTCTACCGAGTTCATCATGAGCTGAAATTTTGATTTTCTTGTACTGTTTGTTAAGAACGTTTGAATAAGAGGTAATAAAGATGTTTGTATTTTGCTTAAGAAAGAATTGTGTGCATTTTGCTTGTGATGGGAACTAAATAAACAATAGCCTCCATTTAGCGCGAATACATTCCCGGACATTATCTGTTCCGAGAAACGGTTTTCCGAGAGCGTAGCACGAGGAAAAAATTTGAGCTTCGAGGAGCAGATAATGTCCAAGGACAAATATCCTAGCATATTCTCGCGCCAAATGGAGGTTACTGGTTTTATATTTTTGCATCAAATGGAGGCTATTGTTTACACTGATGTGACGTGTTTAAAACAATCGCGCACGAGCGAAAATATTTGATGGATTATAATCTCAATTTTACGTTGTCGCTTGACTTTCAGCTCTCCTCTCCAGTCGCTTACACTCGACACAACGTCTGCATCAAATAGCTGTTTTATGCCGTCCTGGGCTTCCGTGTCGCTTTCGCATTGATTGTGGCAAGTAAAACAAGATTGTGATGAAGTTACTTTATTGACCAGAGTATGTAGGGCGGTACCCCACGTACTGGAGGTGGACGCAGCTGAATGTCAGGCCATATTTGAACTTCGATATATTAAAATTCAGTTTGGCAGTGAGGTCTAGAGGACACAAACAATAGAGATTGAATTACATGTTTATTCATTTACTTTTTGTTCTCCAGGCGTCACTGACAACCTGATATTATGGCGCGAAAAGGGTGCTGCACGCAATGTTCGATTATTTTGCCATTCCTTTTACTCCAGGCCCTGGTTTGAATTAAGATCTCGCGGCTCTCCAGTGTATAGGAATGATTCTATTTAGCGGTCTCCCTCCAATAACGGCCACCTTTTCCAGTAAGCTCTTCTCGTTGAGTGCCGTTCATGTAATAACCGTCTCAGGCGCCCTCCTTTGAACTACCAAAAGTAGATTAGCGCCCCGGGTGCTAAATGGAATCATTGCGGTATCCAGCTTTTGAACAACCGTGGCCAGGTCTTTGGCTTCGGTTATCGTCTTGGCTTTGTCGCCTCGCATTTCTTCTTTTGAGTTCGAGGTGAGGGAGTGGCAAGTCTCAGTCGCCTAAACGATTTCATCACCAGGGTGCAACGAAACATACACCTATGGCTAGCTACGACTGGAAACTGAGCCTTGTAGACTTCGAGAGTAGTCTCTCTTGCTCGAAAATCCCCGCTGGAGGAACGCCAGTGTGTTGGACTGTTGAGTGCTGGCGCTAATCGCAGCTCGTTCGCTCAGTCTTTCTTTTCCTTTTGGAGTTTTCCCCTCGCGGATTTACGGGCAAAAGAGAGACTACTCGCAGTCCACTAACGAATCGACCATTTTATCCGTTCGTTCGAGAGAGCCGTTTTCAAATACTTACTAGACGTTCTCACTAGACGTTTTCACCACCCTTTTCTACCGTTTGGCTCGCGGAATCTCCACTCCCTTCGGGCGGAGTCTTCCAGAAAAGTCTATTATAACGACTAACGGAGACCTACACTTGGTTAAGAGTTAGCTGAATAGCACCCAGCTGGACTGTCTCCGGTTACCCCTTAGAAGTAATGCTAATGGTAGTATGTGTCTGTGGTTCTGCTTTCTCCCAGGCCTTCACGGTCGATTGAACGGCTCAAAACGATTGACCGCGGCGAAATATTGAGGCCTAGAAACTAGGCAATATCTGTGGCACACCGATACAGCTGCCAGTAAGCTGGATGAAGATCGTCTAAGATAACGGTGGGAGAGGGAGAGGGGGAGGATTAATTAATTTAAGACTTTGTAAGCAAAAACCTCTTGAAAACGGCTCGAATAAAGCAAAAGGAACCTGATGTCATATCTGTTTGAGTTTCACGACTTTATTTAGTGCTATATTATTTACAGTGTTATGGACAGCTTTGTGTTTTCTCAGAAGTCATTGTCACTGTCATTTAGACTGTTAGCCTGAGATCCGTCATCCTGTCCTTCACCCCGGCCTTCATCCATGTCGTCATCATCTAGCAGCTCCTCGTCATCATCCTCAACGCCAATATCACTCTCTCCTGACGACAGAGAACCACTCTCGTCCTGAGAAAGCAGAGAAACATTTTTCACTGGTTAAATTAAGCAGATAGTTGTATCATAGGGCAAAAAAATTTTGTATATCGACTTTCAGTCGGAGATTTAATAACTTTAATTTTATTCGACCCCTATCCCGTCCCGAGATTTTACTGAGCTCAGAATAATCGGAAACTGTTCTGCTATTTCTAGGGAGATTTGGTCATGAAACGACAGCTCTTTCCTTCACTAGGTGTGGAAATAAAGCTAAAACAAATGATACTGACCTCATCGGAGTCCAGACCTCCTCCTCCCATGGAACCAAACACTCGACCACCGGCTTCAGCAGCTGAAAGGAAAAAACGAAACTTGACTTATAACTTATTACAGGTGTTTTTCTATGCTTGGTTTTGGAAATTACTTTTGAGGGCTGCCTGAAAACGTTGCTAAGATTTATGTTGAGAAGAACAACAGCAGAAGGAAGAAATCTTACAAAGGAAAGGGTAAACAACTCTACACCTCACCTTGAGGTCTGTTGGACTGCCGTGGCTTGTTAGCCTCAAGAACAATTTCACCTTCCTCGTCACCCTCATCATCCAGCTCTCCAAGTTCACCTCCACCTCCAAGCACTTGGTCTCGGTCTCCAGTTTGCATATTCCTTAGTGTTGCTTCCGACTCCTAAACGACCAAAACAACAACTCAGTTACACTGACAACTGTTAGTATATTTACCGTACCCAAATTCGTGATAATCATAATCCAATCGGAAGCGTATTATGCTGTCCCGATATCCCGCCCTTGACCTGATATGGCAGGAATTCTGGTCCAATTTTTGTCTAGTACCTACTATAAGGGCGCCTTTTTGGTACGCTTAGGCGCCATATTAGGCCCGTTTGGTCTCTCCATGTGTATTTTAGCTCGGCTGCTGTTTGGTAGAACCATGGCTCGACCAAACTCGCCTGGGTACTACTGAAGCGCACCGATAAAGAACAAGATTATGCATTAATACATTGAACTTTCTCACCTCAAATCTGTCTTGTTCTGCCCTGTTTATGTCCTCCAGTAGTTGTTCCAGATAGGAAAGATTCCGGTGCTTTTCCATAAATGTCTTCAAGAAAAAATTAAACAACACTCATTAATTGTCATAATGCCCACTAATGCTCTCTTTGTAAAGCAATGAAATCTGGCAAAACATTATCCCAAAAACTGAAGGCAAGATATTGAGTTGAAAATCAAAATCCCCGCTATATGTAATCACCTCGTAAACTTTTTTGAGTTCCTCTTCAAGTTTTTCATACTCGTCCATGTATGCAGGCCTAAAAGAAATGGGGTCCATGTTACTATTTCACTGACTATCATTAGCAAACTTCTCTGATGGCTCATTGGACTCGAACACAGACGTTTACTTTAGAAGCAGATCAGTGTTGTGTTTTAGTCATGGTAGTGTTTTGGAATGGGAACAAAAAGGAAAATAAACGTCCTTTTCTTCCTATACGTACACATCCCCTAGCAATGTCGCCTCAATTTTTGCTCTCGTTTTCCTACATGCTTATCTCTTGACGAAGATCGACCAACTCATTACATGTAAGTAAAAGAAGGACTGCTTATACAGTCAAGGCCAGGAAAGACTGCATTACATCAAAAAGGGCATAGACCTACGTATAGTAGCTTCTCCAGGCAGGATTAAGTCTCCCTTTTTTGTTCAGTTACAGTTGTTACATTGATAATGATCCTCTTTTCAATGCCTGGCATGAGTTGCCACCAAAGAGTACACTTTTACATCAGAGTAGTTACTTTTCCTTGTTCATCTTGCAAGAATTACCTGACAGTTTCCAAGCTTCGCAATCGTTTCTGGTTCCTCTCCAGTTCTTGTTTCTTCTTGTCTATTTTAGCTTCCAGGTTAGCTTCATCAGATGCAATGTTGTCTAACATTTGATTGGTCTTCTTTATCTCATCCTAAACAAAATGAAAAGATCAGTCTACGAAATATTGTCTAAAAGAGTGAACTTTCCTGTAATTCATCTCCCATATATATGAAAAAGATATCTGGAGGCATTCAGAGGGGATGTTTTGATCTTTGTAAGCATTGACTAGTTTATGATTATAGTGTACAACGTGAACTGAACTGTAATATCTTTGATAGAAAATTGCAGCTTGCATCAGCTACAATTGAACACTAAAAAATATCTGAGTACAGTGTACTTTGACTCACTTTCTGAATGTGCTGATCCAACGAATATTGTTTGGCTTTCTTTAAGTCCTCTTAAATGATTACGAACAAGTGTCAGAAAACAAGCCAGGAGTTACATGTGTGCAATGTACACAAATGTTGAGTTAAGTGCAGCCTGAGACTATTTAGTCCCATCTGTTTGCATGCCTATAAGTATGGGTTATTGACCAAGAGTGAGGTCAAGATGACTGGCTGTTAGTCAAGTTATTTTGTATAGGTATATAGCCTACACATGTTTATGACCTGAGAAGCAGTCCACAAGGTCCACAATAGTGCAAAAATGAATTAGACTAATATTCACTGTAGCTTGGTCAATATAAGATTTATTGTATGGCATAGCAAGAACATGACCATTTTTCTTGCAACTAGGATGCAGTAGGAAATCCCAACTAGGAAAGATAGTTCCATCCTGCCTGCTCAGGTGGCCAACATACTTGCATTATAGGAATGCAATGCATGCAGAGGGCTACATAGCTATACAGTAACTATTTGTACACATGACATGCCTACAATACAGGATATTTATTGTCTAAATCAAGGGTTAATGTCATTACACAATCCTCATCATACATTATTGGTGTACAAACCTTCACAGAAATGATACTCTTCTTGATGCCATTTTCCAGTTCATTTAACTCCAGTGGCTTAGCTATTGCACTGGTTCGAAGTTCCTGTTATGAAATTAAACTCATTATTTTTTGCTACCTGAGTAAACAGTTTCAAAGAATGTCTGATATCCAAGTCACTCTATTTATTGAAATAACTAATTTCTGAATGTAGGCGTCTCATTTCGTTACTGAACTAAACAACCATGTAACCAACGACACACACACCTCATGAGTATGAAATCACTTTGGTCACTTCTCAAATATCTCTCAAGCAATGAAAGAATTGAACCAGAAGAAGAAACGGCATTCAAGCTAAGTGGTAAGTTAAAAACTGGACTGACCCTTAACTCCACTTCTCTGCCCAGTAAGTCATAGAGTGCCGCTCCTCTTGATGTAATCTCTGATGCCAGCTGACGTGATGCTTTTAAATCACTTATCTTGGAAGAATAATACAGAAAACACAAGACAACATAAATTGCTCAGTAACAGGACACACATCTACAGTAAAAGACACATACAAGTTAGGATCAATTACAGAAGTGTTACCTTTAGAATCAGTAGCATGCATACGTAATGTCTTGTTATATTACGAGTTGATCAAAGATCTTTCAATAATTATTATTAAAAGAACTTTGATCAACTCCCCCTTCATGACCAAGACTAAATCGATCACTGCATAGCTTATTATATTATAAAATTATACTTAAAAAAACTTAGAAGTAGCCAACATCCTCAGTACTTTTTGTCAGCTTATCAGGGGTTTCATCAACGGCTGGGCAGTGGGTAAATTGACTGGTTGTGAAAATGATTTTGCTTGCCTGGTTTGAAAATCTAGAGGACGTTTTTCTTATAAAGAAGTTCAGTTTAAAAAGTTTTGCCCACCTGTGAAAACTGCTAAAAACATTAATAAAACCCCTGGGTTATCCTTGCTTACAATTCACTGCTAACAATATTATTTATACTCCAGAAAGGATAGAGGCATTGTGAGAGTAATACAACAAGAATACATCAAATTGACCCCAGCCCAGGCTAAAAGCTGATTAATCTCTCAATAACCCAGCACTCTACACACATTACACTACTGCACCTCAGTTAGGATAGATGGGATACTTACTCTTGAGGAAATATCAAACGTCAGGGAACTGACATTAGACTCCTCAGCTGCCTAAAGAATAAATCTCAAATTTATTATTAATAAATCAAAATGTTATTGGTATTACATATCAATAGCATTAGAATCATTGATTAACTTTAGTTGAAAATATTTACAGAGAAATTATTTCTTTGTTTTCTTTCTCATGATGAAAAAACTTTTAAATAATAAGTCAAATTATTCTTGCATTTTGATTGGTTCTTACTTTAGATGATTACATCATTTCTTTGTTTCTTTATTATAAAAACATAGAGATTCCATGTTGTCATGCACCTGTTCAGATATAAATTTGTTCTTACCACATTTTGATGTCATCTGTGATCTGTTACTGAACAGACCCATGGCAACGTAGAATCTATTTGTCAAATTTAAAATACTCAATTTAATTCGCATCTGATGCCAAGCATAATACAAAATATTATTTCCTCTTTCCATCAAGACAGTAGTATGGGTTTGATTAAGTTTCCATTATTATTAAGGTTACAGTATACCTTCAGGTCGGCAATTTTCTTCAAATTTGGATTTTTGGGTCAAAGTAGTGGTCGAAGAATAATCTCTAATTCCTAAAAAAAAATTTTTGAAAAAGACTAAATATTCGCGGAGAAATGGCGGTTTTACGTTTTCACCGGAAGTAAGAGTTTACATCTTGATTGACAGCCCTATGACGCGTATGCAATCAACTGAGACAATTTTTGCGGGAATTACCCGTACAGATGTCACAAATTGACTACTCATCAGTTGATCAGCTTTGTTGTTCTGACTACCAAGCATTTTTGGTACTAGGTGTAATTCTATTAAGTTATAAGTAAAGGTAGACCACATTAAAAACATGGACCAATTCGAAAAAGTGAAAGCAGCAAACAACGAGTGAAAAAACATCAATGAGTGAACATGCGAAAGTTTGCCACGCGGATGAAGCTATAGCTATCGTATAAGGTGGGCAAAAAAATCAAGGGAAGAGAAAAGAAAGGTTATGTAAAAATTTGGGAGCTTGACAGCAATAACTGGGATGTTGACAGAGATGCCGATGAATCCGATAATGACGAATCGTTTGGCCTCATTAAGACCCATTGAAATATTATCCATGCACAGCTGACCATGTACAGTTGCTCCGCCACACTTTCTTTTATTTGTTTTCTTCACCCGGCCACTCTAGCATTTGTATCCTTTTTTGTCTTCCCCATTTTGCCAGAGTGACCAAGCTTCAAGTAAAACCGAGCTACAGAAAAGTTATCTCTCAGCCTTCAGCGCCTTGAGCGCATTGCAAAACACAAGGGTTTTTTGGAGATTCTATTCACCAGGGCCCTGTTTCTTGAAAGCCCCAGAAAGTTTTTCGGGTGCGAAAACTTTTCGGGACCTTCGAGAAACGGGCCCCAGGACATTAATGGTAGTAAACTTTCCCTGCACTGATTGGCGCAGTGAGGGGAGCTGTATCTGAGAACCCAGTTGAATGCGTTTGTGGGCGGAGTTTGTTTGCAAAGCAGAAGATTTTTCTTACGCTGTTTTCTTGAATATTTTTTTTTTGCTTGAATCAGATACTTAAAAGAGTTTTAACTCAAAGGGAATTTGTTCAATTGCCCTCAAATTTGGACAGTAGCTAGTTTAACATATAAACTACAAAAACATGTCTGCAAATTGTTAATTTCAAAATATTTTTTCTTCGAGAGCAATTTTTCTACGATCACTCTACACTTTTTTAATCCTATTTCGAAAATGTTCTGTAACTTTTTACTGCAATTGAATATGGCCAAATGCAGACACATTTTTTAAGTGCTTCGGGCCCTGAAACCAAGGAAAAAATGAAATTGGTGAAAAACAAAAATCGCATTGACTTGTAGCTCTCGAGAGGTGATTCGGGCGCTTGCATTTAGTGGTCGTGAAAAATTCGTCAATCCATTACATTTCAAAATTCTTGGAATAGTTTGATAGCCAGCTCTATAAGCTCTAATTTGATATAGTGGTTTAGGTATCTACCGCTTAAACTCTACGCAGTACATCGCTTGCACGCGAGACACCCCTGAAGGTATATTGTAACCTTAACTTCAAATAAGTTTGACAAGAAAACAGTTGCATCAAGGCCTTATTTCTCATGCATAGCCAGTAAGTGTAGCATTACTGTCTGGATGAGGTTGATGAAGTACTTTGTATCTTACAACAGAATTTTAACTGTAGTTCAAGATCCTTTCTGGATTGATTTATTATTCATGTAAACTATTCAAATTGTCTACCTCATTCCCAGCATTAGTCTTCATGGCACTATACAGAACAGATGTAACTTTGAGTAACTCCTTGACGGCATAACCATCAGCACCATACAGCTTCTTAGTGTTCAGTTTAATATGTGCCTTAGTTGCCTAATAACAGACAATAAATTTTAAAACTAACTTTATACAGTTTCTGTGATCTTTGACTTTGTTCTTGAAGTAAAACTGGTGTAAAGTGGCAGTATCCACCTTCTTCAAAAAACATTTTGAAATCAAATCAGACATTCCCAGATACAGTTTACTAAGGATTAGGCAGGAAAGACAAGAATTACTAAGACCATTATTCACACGAAGATATACTGTTGGGTGACCCTCATAGAGTAGGCACCCTCTTAGAAGGGTTACCCTTCTCTAATGTATTTCCCTGTTTTGTTAACATGTGAGGTGCATGTAGGTTCAGCCTAGGGGTAGTGTTACCCTACCTGCTTGCCATGTAATTGCCTTAGATACTCCAGGGTCATGCTCCCATAAGGGTCAAGTTTTGCTACATTAATTGGCCAAAACATCTGCCCATGAAACTTGGATACCACTGAAAAACTCTGACCCTCTGGGTGTCTCGAAAACTCGGACCCTAAAAACTCAGACCCTCTGGGTGTCTTGAAAACTCAGATCCTTAAAAACGCACACCCTCTGGGTGTCATGAAAACTCAGACATTTAAATACACAAGACACCCAGACACTTGAGCCCTTAAAAATGCAGACCTGGGTGTCACAAAAACTCAGACATTTAAATACACAAGACACCCAGACACTCAAGATGTCCAAAGGGTCTAAAAATTTAGGGTCTGAGTTTTTCGAGACATCCCAAAGGCCTAAGTTTTTGTGACACCCGGGGCAGGGGTTACATTAAGGGCTGGGCACCTGGCAAATTGACCAGCTGAGATGATGGTTTTGCCCGTCTGGTTTGACCATCGAGAGGAAAGTTTTTCTTATAACAAAGGTCAGTTCAAAAAATTTGCCCGCCTGTGAATACATGTTGTCCTCCTGCTGAAAACTTAATGAAACCCCTGGTAGAGGGTCTGAGTTTTGGGGGTTTGAGCTCTGAGTTTTCAGGACACCCAAGAAAAAGTCATGAACAGTCAAAACTGTGAAGGTGTTCTGCTCATTATGTCTTTCGTTTGGTGACATTCTTGTTGCTGTTGCCACTGCCACTGTGGTTTGCTTAAGCTCCCTGTTAGCATCCTTCTCATTCAGAAATTCAATTTTTCACAACCAATATACATACCATGAACTGAGCTACTGACTTTATGAACAATACTCTGTCCTGTTCAGTATCAACATCCATTGGTAATTCAACATTTGGGTCATATCTATACCGGGATATAAACAATTTTCGATCTCAAAAAAAGATTGTATAGTGCATATTCTTCAACCTAAATGAAGATTGCTATAGTACTCTACAAAGATATCATACCAAAACACTGCTACATGCAATATGTACATTTATTATATGGCTAGCTCCATGAGTGGGCAAGATGATCTGAATCCTGTGCTGTGATTGGCTACCTGAGCTGGCAAGATGGCACTGTCTTACCCACTTGGGATTACCCAGTGTGTCCCGCAAGAAAATAATGTTTTTCTTCCATATAATAAATCCTTTGTTCACCAAACTTGAGGTCAAAATGGCTGGATATTCGCCTCATTCTTTTTTTGCGTGTTTATGGACCTTGACTCTGTCTCGCTCCATAAAAACGCAAAAAGGAATGAAGCCAATATCCATCCATCTTGACCTCAAGCTTGGGTAATAACCCATATGTCAAGCATTCAGGTTTATAATTCATCAAATGTTTCTCACTTGTGTTTGGCCTAAACAGTCACACAACTGAACAGGCCCCAGCTAAATATGGAAATATCTGTGTAATATTACCCAATTTTCAAAAGATCTCAAGTACTGCAGAAATATGTGAAGAATAATAAACACAATAGCCTCCATTTGACTTTAAAAATATGCCTGGACATTATCTGTTCCTCAAAGCTCAGTTTTCCTTGATCTTCCCTCTCAGAGAACTGTTCGCCTCTTGGAACAGATCATGTCAGCGGACAAATATCCAAGCAAATTTTCATGCTAAATAGAGGACAATGATTATAAATGTTCATGTACTTATCGCATAAGATGCATGTGAGATCTTGATGATCTCAGTTTAACTGATAATTATTGAGGACCCCACTTTTAAAGCGCAGTTTCCAATGATGTTATTAAATGATAGTGATACTTCACCTCCTGACAAGCCACATCAAGACTTCAGCAACCAAAGCGAAGTTTGGAGAACGAAAGTTCTCCATGGATATCAGCCTGGGGTAGCCTAAGGCTCGCATCATTTCGGTGAAGTCTAAGAAAAGACGAGGGAAATTGCAGGAAAAATGTGGTTGCATTGGTTAAAGTGATAGCTCGTCTAACAATTCTAACCTTTTAAACGTAGAAAAGAAGCCAAAACCAATGGATTATTTAATACTTACTTCTCAAATCCCGGTACGACATTTTGTTGTTCGCAAGAAGAAGTTCGCAATTTATATCCTGTAGAACGCAGATGCGCATGGCTCAAAAGAAACCGCTGGCTAAACTGACGGTATTTGTTTACAAAGTTACTATGGAAACCCAGGTGACGAGAAGCGGGAGAAATAAAGATGGCGGCAAGTCCTGGTGGAGAGGAAGACTCGGTGTATGACACAGGAAGACTGTCATTATTTGATCTTATCTTAGAGAGAACCCGTGCCCAAAACAAGGTACAGTCTAACTATTGCTTCTTTTTGTTTGGTTTCGTCCGATTTTGCTTAAAAACGTATTTTTCTTTTTCTTATTTTAAGGAATATTTGCGGAAAAACAGTGGCAAAAATTTGACAATCTCTCTAATTTCTTTCCAGAAACAACTTGTCCATCGTCTAGTTTATGTGTCAAAAATCCGTCAGGACGTAAATGACAGAAAAGATATCGGAGGTAACTCCTTCACGCTGCAGTTCAGCTTACATACAACTGAAATTATACAGCAATTCAGAATACCAGCTCCTTGTTTCCTTGCTTTATAAATTTCCTTGCTTAACAATGTTCTGTAGTTAAACATTGTTCAAAACTATCTCTTTTTTGATTCTCTGAAAGCAAATTCCTGATTCCCATTTTGATTCTTCAAACGACGTGGTTTTTAAGACCATGCAGTCAGTTCTGCAGACCATACATGTAAGCTTAGTTGTACATGCAAACATGCTGTCACACTCATACCCTCATAACTGGTAGTCTTGAAAAGTTTGCCACACCTGGGTTTTTTTCTGTTGTTCTTGGACCTGGGGGACCTTTTTGCAACTCCCCTCTTGTAGTATTCACTCAATAGTAATCAGGATTATTTGGCACAGAGAGCATACAAACTTATAATCACATGTCAAACATGTCAAATTATGCTTATATGAGATTACGTTTCAAAATGTTCACCATCTTGGATTAAAAAAACTCTCACTAAAACAGAAATAAAAACCCTGGAGGAGCGGGGCGGGACTCTGACATAAGAAGGACGGGGATGCTCGGCATACCTTTTAGAGGTTAAAAAAGCATTTTTGGTACCTCTTGGTCAAGGTCAACAGTGGGAATTTTTGCGGTACCTTTTAGGGTATTGAGCTGAAAACAATATGACAGGAAATAATGTGTTGTTTTAGAATAGACTGTTTTTGATATATTAAAATTCAGCTTGGCAGTGAGGCTTAGAGGACGCAAACAAAGGACATTGAATGACCATGTTTATTCATTTCTTTTGTTTGTGTCCTCTAAGCCTCACTATCAAGCTGAATATTAATATATCGAAAGTGGCCTATTGGTACCTCTTAGGGTGAAAAAAATTTCAAGCTACACCCACAAAACAGGATCTTGGTACCTATTAGGTTTTTTTTTTTCAAACTTTCCGTCGAGTACCCCCATCCTTTTTATATGGGAGTTTCCCCCCGTGGAAAAAACACAGATCAGAAATAAGAAAGTTTGAAATCAGCACAGCCCCCTCATGCTTCCAGTCTGCAGAGAATGTCAGAGCACAATAAGATCTTGGCTACACCAGGGGTTTGATTAACATTTTCAGCAGGAGGGCAACTGGTTTTCACAGGCAGGCAAAACTATTGATGGGAACCTTTTTATAAGAAAAACTTTCCACTAGATGGTCAAACCAGCCAGGCAAAATCATCCTCATAGCCGGTCAATTTGCCACGGTGCCTGGCCCTTAATGAAACTCCTGGTATACTACAGTGCATTATGCACATTAATCAAATCTTCCCAAAGCTACACTGTACATGTAGTATGTACTAGCTCCTTTACAGGCTAGTTGCATAGAAACTGTATGGACCAAACTTGTGAATGTGCATGCCATACTTTTCAGACTGAATATTGCTTTAAAAGTCGTATCAGGGAGAAATGTTTCCCTTCTAAAGCATTTACAAGTACTAAGGCAACACATTTTCCAGTTTGCATCTGCCTAATATAAGTTGATGGCACAGGGGCAGTATCAGAGTGGTTGGTTTTATCCCAAGGGGGGGCGGGGGGAGGGGATACTCCCTTATATGGGCTATATAGGTATGTGCAGCCCTAAATGGTAGGGTTTTCAGCCATTTTGGTCATAAATAGGGTATCGATTTTGGCCATTTTGGTTATAAATAGGATATGGTTTTAGCACTCTAGTCTCAAATTGGGTATGTTTCTTAGAAGAAGCTACATTTTCATCATTATCAATAAGACAGTCAACAAAAGCCCTTCATAACTTATGTTTAGGGCAACTGTGTCAGCTGCAACAGTCATAAATAGACTATCAAATTTTTGGTCAGATCATAAATAGGGTAGCAAAAATTGCAGATTTTGGTCATAAATAGGGTAAGAGTTTTGGGAAGTGGGCCACACACCCCTACCCAACTTTTCTGGAAGTACCCCTCTCCACTGGGGTTTTATCATATGCAACAAATATCAACTATAATCCATTTGATTCTAAGTTTTTAAAACAATTTTCTTTGTTTTTTTAGCTCACTATGAAAGACTTTTTAAGGAACTACAAACACAAGTCCATGGAGAAGCTGTCACAGGACTGCTTCTGATTTATCCTGTTCATATAATTCATGTTGTAGAGGTAAGAGTTCAAGCACAAATCTGTTTAGTGCCAAAGATGTGTGGGCTTAATGTGAAACACCTCTAGAATAATGGCAAAAATTATCAAGCATACAATCCATGACAAAAGCCTTGGGACACTTCATTGTATCACCAGCTAAAGCTTGTTGTATTCAGCATCCATCCCGATCCAAAATTGAGCAATGAGTCTTGTCAAGTGAACTGAGAAGAATCTGTCATTGGGCTGTATTTTGATAATTGTCTGAAGGACTTTGCTGGTTATTTGTGAATCATATTGAAAATAATTACTGCTGGTAAGAATAAATCAAGGCCTCTAGATTAAAGCATATATCTCAGATAAGACCCTGTTTGTGGTGATATTAGTTAATGCTCTTTATGAGATCTTGAAAGACCTAACAACGATCATGAAAGTTAATTAAAAGATCTTTCAAACAAACACAAGTGTTTTATATCTAGATCTTGGCAAAGATCCTTTCAAGGTCTTTGTAAGGATACTTCAAGATCCTAGAGGATTTGATGTGGATTTATTTAGATCTTATGTGGAGGTAAATTTTTTGCAGGATCTTGAAAGATCCTTTGGGATCACTGATTACCTTATGAAAGAATATTGGGAATCTTTGACAAGTCTTGAACATTCCTTGAGCCTTGAAGATATTTACCTGTAGTTTTGGGGGGAATTTTAAATGAAGAAACCTCAAAGGTCCTTGTGAAGATTCATATTTCATGAGGACAGCATGCATTAAACCTTCAGTGAGGGAGAACTTACAAATGTGATAGAGAGGCCTATCGACTGAATCTTTTGCAAACAGGCTGACCACTTTTAGATAACAACAAATCCACTTAAAGTTGTTTTCTAGCCTTGGCTGTTCCAGTGCACATGTGGTCACAGTCCTCCTTGCAGGTGCAGTGGCACATCCACTATAAACTGGACCTAATGTTTTGGGTCTACTAGAAGAGCTTACTAAAGTACAACAACATGTCAGCTAGCTTGAGTTTGGATCCAGTGAGTGGCAGTGAAATTGATTTTCGCTGTTCAGTTTTCAAGCTATTGGTTGGCTACACTAGTTGAGCTGTAAGTATGTTTAATAATTTGGTATAATTGTTTTGTAGACATCTTACAACATGCTCCTTAAAGTTATAGAAGATTTGGAAGAAGATGAACAGAGTATCAGGTAAGAAGAGAAAAATTGTTGAACAATACGTCTGGATTTGTGAAGACAGTGTTTAGGAAAATGTTACCCTTTTTGCTGCAACTTGGTCTAACTGTAAGTAAATATATAAAAGCAGTTGTGAAATTAAAGCCTGAAAAAAATTTAGGCTGAAATTTTATCAGGCTTTAATTTCACATCTGCTTAAAAATAAGGTGTGTGTATAACTGTGATGATCAATCTTGTCTTCATATTGGTCTAACTGTTTTTTTTTTTCCTCACCTTTAGGGACCGTTCATTTTTTATAAGGTAGGGGGGCTGGTGGGATTTGAGGGGGGGCCATGCGAAAAAAAATGGCTTTCGAGGGGGGACCATCCCAAAAAAATAAGGGAAAAAGGGGGGGTCATGTGAGATATTTTAGTAAAACTTTAAAATGGCATAATGTTTGAATATCAAAGAAATTGCTATAGAATAAACATAGAAGGCAGGATACAAATTTATTACAAACTTTCCTTCTGCTTTAAAAAAACGTTTGGCGACAAAAAGCATTTGTAGCTACTGAAAAGAAGTATTTAACACTGTTATTTTCGAATGCAACTTTCACCGGCACTCATCTTCATCTTCGCTGTCGTCGAGTTCTTTGTCGCTGCTTGTGCTGCTATGGGAGTCTCTTTCACCAATGCTGCAAGAAGCAGCAATAGAGTTCTAAAGTGTGGCGTCACGTTGCCATGGCGCTAAAAAATTCAGTTCTAAACAACTCAGATAATCTCTTCCGCGTGAGTCACGTAGTGTTTGTGTCCGCTTTGTCTTCAGGTCAAAACGCTTATTAACCTGTGTTATATTACAAAAGTGGCCACGAAGAAGAACAGATGGTCAAAAGGTCAAGTACTATTTGAAAATTATCGCTTTTTGTCCAAAGAAATTTATCGGAACGGACACAATGGTGTACTGCTTTGCTCCGACGTGCAATCATTCATCAGAAAGCCACAATTGCAAGTTCTTTGCATTTCCAAACGATAAAAAGGAAAAAGACGAATACAAAAGATGGATCCGTCTGATAAGGTTTGTAACAGCACTTATAATTATCGTTTTGCTCAAAAGAACATCATAAATTTTTTTGCAATTTCCACTGACTCGGAATACTTAATCTATTTTAAAGAGCTTTAGGACTTCAGAGTTAGTTGAAATTTTGAAACGAATTTTGAGCTATTGAAATCTTTCCAAGTGTTTAGGATGAAGTTCTGTTATCTGTTTCTTTGAAATAGGAGGAAAGACAGAGAACCAAACAAGCATTCCAGAGTGTGCGGTTGTCATTTTATGGATGGAAATAAATTAAATGGGCCCACAATTTACGAAAGAAATCGAGATAAGATATTTCCTAGTGAAGGAGGACCACCAAAGAAAAAGAAAAAAGTAACAGCTAAAAAGAAGACTATGCAAGAAATGGTGGCTGAGGCAATCAGAGGATCTGAGCAGCAGTCCACTGATGACGACACCAAACAAGAAAGTTGCAACAAGACAACAAATGAGATAATACTGGAGGCAGAATTAAATCAAGCCAGGGAGGAACTTCAGGGCATGCAAGAAAAAGAAAGCTACGCACAAAAACACTACACAGTTTCGGGAGTGAGTGTAGAGGTTCTCAGAATGGAAACAGGGCTTCCGACAAAAGAAGTTTTTAACATTGTAGTACTTCACGCTTTAAGATTCAAAGATTGTATTGTTTATTATTCTGGTTGGAAAGTAGAGTCCAGTAATTTTGAGGACCAGATTTTCATTACTTTAATGAAACTAAGACAAAATTATACCAACCTGCACCTTGCGTAGCTTTTTAGTTGCAGTGTTGCAACAATAGCTATTGTCACCACTTTCGTCCATGTTTTGCATTCAATATTATTTCATGACATCATGACAACCATTCCATCCAGGGGAAAAAAAAATGTGTTATGTGCACCATCTTCTTTTTCAGAGTTTACTTCTTGTAGAATTGTCATTGATTGTACCGATGTGGAGATTGCAGTGCTGGGCTTAATGAGTCTGCAAAATGCTACTTATGCAAGCTACAGGGGTATGAACTCATTTAAAGTAATTGTCAGGGTCACACCAAATGCAGTAATAACTATTGTTAGCAAATCATACCCTGGGTCCATTTCTGACAAAGCAATAGTACAACAGTCAGGTCTGTTGAATCATCTTGTTGCAGGGGATATGGTTTTGGCCGACAAAGGCTTTCTTATCCATGACATTTTGCCAAATGATGTTTCTCTTAACATTCCACCTTTTTTGAATAATGGTGTTTTCACTGAAAGTGAAGCAAAGAAAACAAAATCCATTGCCAGAGCAAGGATCCATGTAGAGAAAGCGAATGCAAGGTTAAAGGATTTCAAAATTTTAACTTTCATCCCATCTTATTTAAGATGTTGTGCTGATGTTATTTTTCAGTTATGTGCTGCACTGGTAAATTTACAATTTCCACTTATCAAAGAGGGGTGCGGGGGGACAGAGTTTGAGTAATCTGAGTACAAAAAGGATGTTTGCCTGTTATCAGTAAACAAATATAATGGTCATTATATGATAGAACTGAGTCAGTCGAATAACTCTTCTTCAGTTATGTAAATATACATAAACACAGACATAAACAAAGTCAGGATGCCACTATTTTGCAGACCGATCAGATTGAGTAGGGTTTCTTGATAAGCAGAAATACTGTTTTGTTGGAGGAAACATTTCTTCAACGGCTTGCCAAGAGAGTGGTGTATTTGCTTTGCGTTCCTTCCAGTTGCATTCAACATCTGTCCGGCTGAGGTTGTAGATGACGTGAATGAAAAGTGCAGCAGCGTGGCTGCACTCGTTAAACTTCCCCCTTGGACACTCACACTTACTTGATCTTATGGCATTCTCATTATCTAAGCAAACCTAGCAAATCAGAAAAAAAAAACGCGCGAGGGCATGAAAAGCAACTTTTAAAGACTTCTCCAAACGAACGAACAGTTCCATGCATCGAACGACCTCAACAACAAAGCGTGTCAACGGCAAAGTTTGCGCGTCTAGTTATTCCACAATTAAATTATTATGGAAAGGAACTGTTATTTACTTAAAAATCTCACTGAAAAGCATTTCAAGCAAAAAATAAATGAGAAGCAGCATCTGTAGTGAGTATTCTGGAACCATTTCCACTCACCGTGACTTTGTAGACTTTGTTTCGCATGCTTGCGTGCACGTCTCCTCGTAAAATACACTGACGATAAGTAAATGACTCCACATGGCCTGATTTGTAATGGTTTTCACCCTTCTTAATTGACTTCTGCTCTTCCCCGAAGAAAGAAATGAACGAAGCGATCGAGAGGGCCGACATTTGGTATGGCGTCGGTCACGTTTTGGGCCTTTGTCTAGAGCTGAATTTTTTGGCATCATAGTAACGTGACGTCACCGCTTTAGAACTCTATGCCTAGGAGAAAAATTCGCATTGAGTTTGAGGGATGCTTATATCAAAATTGGTCTATTAACTGTGTGTTTGTCTATGCATCAGACAAAATACTCACTACTCTATCATTCTAGTGTTAAAAAATCTCCCTCACCTAATATTCTAAATGTTGTTACCATACTTATTTTTTTTAACCTTTTTCTTTCGGCATTAGACCTTTTGTCTTTTTTCCTTTTCCTTTGTAGCTTTCCCTCTTCCTTCCTTTCCTCTTCTTTATTTTCCTGCTCATTTCTTGAATACCGTTCTTTCTTCAAGTCTTCATTCTTTTCCTGGTCTCTCTCCTCTTCCTTTCTCTCCTGTTCTTTCTTCTCCTCTTCCTTTCCTTCCTGTTCTTTCTTCTCTTCTTCTTTCTTCCTTCTTCTCGTCTTCTTTTCTCTCCACTTCCGTCTTCTCTTCTTGTTTTCTCTCCTCTTCCTCCTTCTTTTCTCTCCTCTTCCTCCTTCTTTTCTCTCCTCTTCCTTCTTCTCTTCTTTTCTCTCCTCTTCTATTCTTTCCCCTTCCTTCTCCTCTTTCTCTCTTTCCTCTTCCTTCTTCTCCTCATCCGTTCTTTCCTGTAGTTGTTCCTCTTGAGTGGCATCTGTGGTAAACAAGGTGTACCATAATTATTACAAATTTTGTTGTTTCAAAAGCTAAATCAATATGCATTTGCTTTATTAATTATCATCTGTTTCCATTATCTGCATTAATCAAGTTGCTTCATATAAATAACATTACCTCAATTTGAGTTTGCAACTAGAAATGTGCGAATTTAATAACCCTCTGGCATGCAGGGCAGATGGGTGGATACCTTTTATCATATGATGTTCTCTGCGATGCATAATGTTCCATACACTGTAGCTGTTCATTTGTGGACTTTTTGGTGTGTCATGTGTACATCAATTATAAGCTACTATGGGCAGACATTCAACTTTGTGATACAATTCTTTGTTTTTCCAGTTCTCTTCATTAAAATTACACAACTATTGTTCAAGTATTTCAACTTTCTATTCACACATTGGCTTGATTTTGTATTGAAGTGCCTTTCAAGTACAAAACAAGGGCTTTCAAAATAAAAAAGGTGTTTTCCTTTTTGTTTCCATTTTTTTCTGCAAATTAGACTAACAGATGATGTGATATGTGATAAGTTGTTCAAGTATGAAGTCAAAACCCTGTTTTAAAGTCCCTCAACCACTGATGCTTTCTATTTTATTCTATGTATTGTTTTTATCTAGCAGTGTAGTTGAAAGTTCACTCTCAGAAAGTTCATCACTTGGGACATTCCCAATGTTGAAACCGGTTAGTTTGAGCTGTGGCCATTCTGGATATGATGCAAGGACTGTATCGAAGAGCTCGTTAAAGTAAAAGGTCCATGAAGCAAATGCCCTAAATGTCGTGTTTATTGCGATGGCCAATCACTGAAAAATAACATCGCCTTGCACCAAATCACCAGAGCATTGCCCGTCAAGGGTTGCAATAGGGACTGCGGATGGGAAGGCATCTATGAAGATGCAGCAGCACATCATGTGCAATGTCCAAAATTGGATAGGGAGTGCCCGAACGTTGCTTGTTATCGCACGGAAATCCGAGAAGGCATGGCCGCACACGCTGCTGTATGTCCCAATAGAAAGGTGCCGTGTCCAGAATGCGAAAGGACAGTTATATGGGAATCATTGCCGGACCACCAGAATGTGGACTGCGCTAATGCTATCATAGAATGTCCGCCGAGCTGCGGTGAATCATTCCCAAGGTATGTTTTTTTTTTAATACAATGACTGACTTAAGGGCTGTTCATTTTTTACGAGGTAGGGGAGGCTGGCGGGATTTTTTTTTGGGGGGGGGGGAAATGCAAAAAAATGGCTTTCGAAGGGGGGCATCCCAAAAACTAAGGGGAAAAAAGGGGGGTAAGGTGAAATATTTTATTAAAAATTTCAAATGGCATAATGTTTTAATATTAAAAATGCTATAGAACAAGCATAGTAGACAGGATACAGATTTATTACTAACTTTCCTTCTGCTCTAAAATAACGTTGGACGTTGTTTTCAGTCCGCTTCCTCTTTCTTTCATTAGAGCTTCTGCGGTTTTCTTTTTTTCCTTCTCCTCTTGTTCAGGTGTTGTTTGTGTATGCCCTAGATAATGTTGTCATAACTTCTCTTCATAAGCTATGACTAAGAGATCCGAGATTGACTTCTCTTTCTTTTAATTTGTGTTTTTCTTATTATAGAAGCAACATCATTCTCCACACGCACAAGTGCGAGGAAAAAGCTGTGAAATGTAACGTGGAAGGGTGTGGAAGAATAATGAAGCGCAGAGACATCAAGGAGCACATCAACGATGCAGCAACTTCGCATTACCGTCTTCAAGGGGGCGAAATACAACGGCTGCACCAACTAATTCATGGAAAAGTACGAACAAATTAATACTTAACCTTAATTGCATACGAATTTCAAAAATATATAGATACAACTTTGCCTTAAGTAATTTCCCTAGGGAGAATCCACATAAAAATGGCGGGGGTTGCTCGTCCTATCTTTTAGGTGTTAAAAAAGCGGATTTTTAAGGTCCACAGCGGGAGCATACATGGTACCTAATTTTTAAGTTTTCTCATTTACAATTGTCTTTATCGCTATAATTTAAAAATTATGAAAATGACTGACCTCTAAGGGATAAAAATTTTTCAAGCCACGCCCACCAAACGGGATCTTGGTGCCGAATAGAGTTTTTTTCAAAATTTCCGAGGAGCATCCCCGTCCTTTTTTGCTTAACTTTGGAATTATAAATTTCAGAAGTGTGACAAGGAATCAATAAAGTTGAAGGAGGAGAGGGTGGTTGCGTTCCGCTGGACAATGAGTGATTTCCAAACCTGGGCGGCAGAACAAACAGGGAAAAAGGAGCCTCTCACGAGTCCAACTTATATTGACAAGGAGTATATTTTCCACTTATTCACTTGCCAAGTTGTTATCGGACAGTTTGTTATCAGACAGTTCAATAAGCTAATCACATTCAAACTTATAGTTTAAATCAACTCATGTGATTACAGACCTAATTGGACTCCACTCTGTTATTACCATTACTTATCAGTCAAAATATTTTTTCCCTACCTAGGATTGTTATGATGCCAGGAGACAGAAAGGAGGCTTTCCATAGTATGGATAAAAAAACTATCAGCGAGGGAGAAATGTGGGGGGTGAACATCAAAGATTTCACGGAATGGGTAGATGAAAATGGAGACCTAAACGTCAAATTTATTATTTATTTCGTTAGCCTTTGATTTAAAACAACAGTCACTATAAAGAGGCTTCCTCAAACGTTTTCTGTGAAGCGTGATTGAAGTTTTTTTCATTCGTGATTCTCGATTTCAAAACATTTTGAAATGCACATTGAATAACTTTAATCTTCTAGCAGACCACCTGTTTGGGATGTGTTTTACTCTCTCGATTTTTTCGGAAAAGTTAACATAAAAAGCGTTTTCTTCTAAAGAAGAAAACCAGACTCCTGAGGCGTAGACTCTTCCTTTAACTAGTCCATGTTATATGTTTGTTAGAAAATAACATAGTGTTAGACTTTTTGAATGAGCCGATCCAGAGGGCTTCCGTTTTATCATAATTAACTTTCAAGCCGGACATAGAGCCAAATGCGTCAAACAAGTATAGAGTTCTTGAAAATGAAGATTGTGAGCCATCTAAAATCACTGTCGTATCATCTGCGCATTGCGAAATCTTGCATTCGGTTCCCGAGATCATGATTCCATGAACATCTTCATCATTTCTTATTGTGCTACCTAAAATTTGTAGTGATAATGAGTGTTGTAATGATAAACTAGAGTACAACGGTCTACAAATATTTGTACTGATGTTCTTATTTATGAAATAAATGATATGTGGAGAGCAACATGGTCTATTTCTCTAGTTTTTAATACGTGTGTGTTAAATTTGTAGTGAAGGTCATTCATAAACAGGATTAAACAAGCTTTAGGGAAATCATTGGAGTGAAAATGACTTTTTCCTTCGCGAACATTTTCATGTAAATCAACTAATCTCTATTTAAATGGTTTCACAGAAATCTAGGACCTCTGTGATACAGTGTTGCAAAAAAATTTAATTGGCTACTGATTTTAGCACGGCAGTACCACTGGGGGTTATTAGAGCAGTCATAGCGGATGCAGAATTTCATATGTTTTCAACCATCCTACACGTCACGAAAACTATACGTCCCAAATTCCAGGTGGGCTCTGGGAGAGAGAACACCTTGTTCAAAGCATACGTACCGTAAGAAAAGGCTCTGCTTGCAGGGTGGGAGAGAGATCGCCATAGGGGTGGACCATTTGACTTTTCAGGAAGAGGGAGGGTGATTTTGAGAAAAANTCAGAAAACCACAATTGCAAGTTCTTTGCATTTCCAAGTGATAAAAAGGAAAAAGACGAACACAAAAGATGGATCTGTCTGATAAGGTTTGTAACGGCACTTATAGTTATCGTTTTGCTCAAAAGAACTTCATAAATTTTTTTGCGATTTCCACCGACTCGGAATACTTAATCTATTTAAAAGAGCTTTTGGACTTCAGAGTTAGTTGAAATTTTGAAACGAATTTTGAGCTATTGAAATCTTTCCAAGTGTTTAGGATTAAGTTCTGTTATCTGTTTCTTTGAAATAGGAGGAAAGACAGAGAACCAAACAAGCATTCCAGAGTGTGCAGTTGTCATTTTATGGATGGAAATAAATTAAATGGGCCCACAATTTACGAAAGAAATCGAGATAAGATATTTCCTAGTGAAGGCACCAAAGAAAAAGAAAAAAGTAACAGCTAAAAAGAAGACTGTGCAAGAAATGGTGGCTGAGGCAATCAGAGGATCTGAGCAGCAGTCTACTGATAACGACACCAAACAAGAAAGTTGCAACAAGACAACAAATGAGATAATACGGGAGGCAGAATTAAATCAAGCCAGGGAGGAACTTCAGGGCATGCAAGAAAAAGAAAGCTACGCACAAAAACACTACACAGTTTCGGGAGTGAGTGTAGAGGTTCTCAGAATGGAAACAGGGCTTCCGACAAAAGAAGTTTTTAACATTGTAGTACTTCACGCTTTAAGATTCAAAGATTGTATTGTTTATTATTCTGGTTGGAAAGTAGAGTCCAGTAATTTTGAGGACCAGATTTTCATTACTTTAATGAAACTAAGACAAAATTATACTAACCTGCACCTTGCGTAGCTTTTTAGTTGCAGTGTTGCAACAATAGCTATTGTCACCACTTTCGTCCATGTTTTGCATTCAATATTATTTCATGACATCATGACAACCATTCCATCCAGGGGAAAAAAAAATGTGTTATGTGCACCATCTTCTTTTTCAGAGTTTACTTCTTGTAGAATTGTCATTGATTGTACCGATGTGGAGATTGCAGCGCTGGGCTTAATGAGTCTGCAAAATGCTACTTATGCAAGCTACAGGGGTATGAACTCATTTAAAGTAATTGTCAGGGTCACACCAAATGCAGTAATAACTATTGTTAGCAAATCATACCCTGGGTCCATTTCTGACAAAGCAATAGTACAACAGTCAGGTCTGTTGAATCATCTTGTTGCAGGGGATATGGTTTTGGCCGACAAAGGCTTTCTTATCCATGACATTTTGCCAAATGATGTTTCTTTTAACATTCCACCTTTTTTGAATAATGGTGTTTTCACTGAAAGTGAAGCAAAGAAAACAAAATCCATTCCCAGAGCAGGGATCCATGTAGAGAGGGCGAATGCAAGGTTAAAGGATTTCAAAATTTTAACTTTCATCCCATCTTATTTAAGATGTTATGCTGATGTTATTTTTCAGTTATGTGCTGCACTGGTAAATTTACAATTTCCACTTATCAAAGAGGGGTGCAAGGGGACAGAGTTTGAGTAATCTGAGTACAAAAAGGATGTTTGCCTGTTATCAGTAAACAAATATAATGGTCATTATATGATAGAATTGAGTCAGTTGAATAACTCTTCTTCAATTATGTAACTATATATAAACACAGACATAAACAAAGTCAGGGTGCCACTATTTTGCAGACCGATCAGATTGAGTAGGGTTTCTTGATAAGCAGGAATACTGTTTTGTTGGAGGAAACATTTCTTCAACGGCTTGCCAAGAGAGTGGTGTATTTGCTTTGCGTTTCTTCCAGTTGCAGTCAACATCTGTCCGGCTGAGGTTGTAGATGCCGTGAATGAAAAATGCAGCCGCGTGGCTGCACTCGTTAAACTTCCCCCTTGGACACTCACACTCACTTGATCTTATGGCATGCTCATTATCTAAGCAAACCTAGCAAATCAGAAAAAAAGACGCGTGAGGGCATGAAAAGCAACTTTTAAAGACTTCTCCAAACGAACGAACAGTTCCATGCATTGAACGACCTAACACATCGATGTACATCGAACGACCTCAACAACAAAGCGTGTCAACGGCAAATTTTGTGCGTCTAGTTATTCCACAATTAAATTATTATGGAAAAGAACTGTTATTTACTTAAAAATCTCACTGAGAAGCATTTCAAGCAGCAAATAAATGAGAAGCACCTTCTGTAGTGAGTATTCTGGAACCATTCCACTCACTGTGACTTTGTAGACTTTGTTTCGCATGCTTGCGTGCACGTCTCCTCGTAAAATACACTGACTATAAGTAAATGACTCCACATGGCCTGATTTGTAATGGTTTTCACCCTTCTTAATTGACTTCTGCTCTTCCCCGAAGGAAGAAATGAACAACGCGATCGAGAAGGCCGACATTTGGTATGCTGTCGGTCACGTTTTGGGCCTTTGTTTAGAACTGAGTTTTTTGGCACCATAGTAACATGACGTCATCGCTTTAGAACTCTATGCTTTCCATCAGGGTGTACTCCTCAGGGTACATGAAGGTGTAAACATAATCTCTGACTTCCTGCTCAAGGTTGGTGGTGATTCTGCTTCTTGATGAGCACAATAACGTGAAGTAGGGGGATAATAGAGAAATATTAAAAAAGTTGAAATCTAGAAATTGTTTGTTTACTTTTTTGGGGGGGGTCATCCCAAAAAATGACCGCTATAAGGAGGGGGGGGCATGTGAACAGATTGGTAAGCTGAGGGGGGTCATTTGATTTTCAAATGGTGCTTCCCAAATCCCACCAGCCCCCCCTCCCTCGTAAAAAATGAATGGTCCCTTAACTCCAAAAAATCTCTTAGGTAAGTGATATTAATAAGAATAATTAAAAGGAATGTCAGTCTTTTTTGTCTAAACTCACATCTTCCACTTTTTTACTCTTCTAAGTACTTCTTTTCATTGCTTGGAGTGATTTTCAGGCCATCAGAAGTCATAAAATCAAGGTCTGTGGCTCACTTACAGTAGTGCAAAGAAATGAACCGTCAGTTTTTATAAATCAAGTCATATATGGAAATGATAAGAAAACGCTCGGTTTTCACTCCAGATACATCAGAACTTTTTAGGTTGACGGTTATTCAAGATGCTCATGATTGGCCTTCCATGGTAATTCAGGTTACCATAATAATTCTTGGGACAGAATGTTGAAAGTGATCATGAAATATTTGGACAGATAAATGAGAAATATTGGCAGCTATTCTAGATGTTTGTGTTTGGCCCTTGCAGGTCATTCAGTCTTGTTCATGACTGTGACTGGATTTATGTTAAATTCCTTATCTCCTTTTTAAAATTATAGACTTTGTCTTTATCTTGGTTCATAAAAAACGCAACACAAAGCAAAAACCTGGTTGAGTGGGGTGAATAGGTTTTGGGATCAACGGATTTGGCCTTGAAAAGCACATGGATTGTGGATTTTTGTGGTAAATCAAGCAGATTCGTGGATTTTGAAAACACAGTGGATCGTGGATCAGCTGTGAATTTTGGCACAGATTCCGGATTGTGCCTGTCTTGATATTCAAATCTTGGGTCCTAAACGAAATATGGATCATAGATCTTTCTTCAGCCTTGGTCGGTATGTTAATGAGTTCATCCAAATTATTTCTTTTTTCAAATGAAGCTCATTTAAACTCCAGTGTGAGTTTTTTATTGGAATTGTACTGTGTTAAAGTCATCAAGCATATTGCCTTCTTTACTATTTGTGCGAAATTAACACTGGTATTCACATTTACCAGTTTACCGTTGAAATTTTACTCTTCTGTTTCCAGATGTTGTTGTGGTTTCGGATTTGAACAAAAATATTGGCAGATCAATGGATTTGTTGAAAAAAAAGCATGGATCGGCGGATTTGCATACCCCCTATTCACCCCCCTCCTGGTTAATAGCCAGGCATCTTAACCTCATGTGTGGTTAATAACTGAATGTGATGTGTTTGTTTGCAGTGGTATGCTACTGAACACAAAAATACTTGTTTGTACTGGTGATGTATCCTTTGATATGTATGCAATAAATGTCTCAGCTCCTATGAATTATCTTAAATAACCATTATTTTTTTTTTCCCAATTCATAAGTGGGCAGAATTCAACAAATCTTGCAATCTGACTGGTTCTGGGAGTGGGTGGAATTTTCCCATCCAGCCCGCTCACAGCAGGCAGAATCATTGTGTTAGCAGTAATCATCAACCTTTAGCTTTTTTACACTTCCATTGACGATTAATTAATGCGAGTTTATCTCTATTCACTTTCAAAAGGCAAGGAAAGTCACTAAGAAAATTCAATAGAGTGTTTTGAAGTTGTTAGAGTTTGTTTGGTTGTTTGTAGCTTGGCGCTGTAATGGCACGTAATCCTATGTTTCTCTTGCCATAAAATGTGAAGTAAAAAAAGAAATAATTTCAGTTGAGTTTACCTCTCTGATCATTGCTTTAAGAATATTTTCCAGTAAAAAAAAGTCTGATTTCAAGTGATTCTCACTGACTGGCAAATTGTTTTTGTAGTTCAACTTCAAACTTTACACGAAGTTTTACACCAGAAAAACAATTTTGGAGAACTTGACTGGTGAACTAATTAATGCAACTAACATGAAGAAGTTTGAAATAAATTTGCTCTTTAGTACATCTTTCTTTGTCTAGCATCTGAGTTACTTGCTCGTTGTGAAGATTTTTAAAAATCACTAGTTGACAGCTGATTCAATGATGAAGTTGTGTAATTAAACCCATTTGTAATTAAAACCAATCTACGGCAGGAAAAAATAAACATGTTATTTTCTGGCTTAGGGTTGGTCCGTATAGTGAAAAACTGTGACCTCAGGCTTGAAAATGCTTCCTGAGGCAGCACTATATGTACTGACCCTAAGCCAGAAAATAACATGTATTTATACTAATCTAGTTATGATATTAAATATAATTTGGATCCATACTCTCCCACAGCCCTGTTTACCTGGCTGCAGAGAATGATAAAAATTACTTATTAGCTGAATGTTAGTAGTTGGTCCAAAAGTGTAGCAGCTCTCGTAAGCTGCTAAATTGTTTTATTATTGTAGCAGCTGTCATTGTTTTAGGGCTAGAGGCTTTGTTTCTGTTGTTTGTTGTATTGCCATTCATGTGGGGCCTTATGAGAGCTGCTACCTACTGGTCATGCTTGGTGATACCTCATTATTGCTATACTGATGTGAAGTATGTATGAAATAATTCATAGTTGAACTGCGGTTGTAGATGAAAGTTACTGACCATCGTAAAAGGTAAACCTTAACCTATCAAGCTAAACAATCGTTTATTTGGACAGTGGAGTTTTAGAACTCTCAACCTTGCTGTATCGAGGATGCAAGAGTTTACTACAAATGAACCTATAGATGTTGTGGTTAGTAGTCAGAATTATATGTTATCTGCATTTGTCACCTTATAGTGACAAATCGTAGACATCCTTTTAGGATTGTGTACAAGCTCATGGGAGGTGCCTATTTGATTAAGGGAGTCCACCATTTATGGGAGGTATCCAGTTATTGGAAATGTCCAGTTACCGCTATGTGAGGTGTCCAGTAAGGGGAGGTGTTCAGTTACATGAGATGTCCAGTTATGTGAGGTGTCTAGTTATGTGAGGTGTCCAGTAATGGGAGACATTCAGTTATGTGAGGTGTCCAGTAATGAGAGTTGTCCAGTCATGTGAGTTCTCTTGTTATGTGAGGTGTCCAGTTATAGGAGGCATCTAGTTATAGGAGGTGTCCAGTTATGTGAGGTGTCCAGTAATGGGAGGTGTCCAGTAATGGGAGACATTCAGTTATGTGAGGTGTCCAGTAATGAGAGGTGTCCAGTCATGGGAGGTGTCCTGTTATGTAAGGTGTCCAGTTATAGGAGGTATCTAGTTATAGGAGGTGTCCAGTTACATGAGATGTCCAGTTATGTGAGGTGTCCAGTAATGGGAGACATTCAGTTATGTGAGGTGTCCAGTAATGAGAGGTATCCAGTAATGAGAGGTATCCAGTAATGAGAGGTGTCCAGTCATGTGAGTTCTCTTGTTATGTGAGGTGTCCAGTTATAGGAGGCATCTAGTTATAGGAGGTGTCCGGTTATGTGAGGTGTCCAGTAATGGGAGGTGTCCAGTAATGGGAGACATTCAATTATGTGAGGTGTCCAGTAATGAGAGGTGTCCAGTCATGGGAGGTGTCCCGTTATGTAAGGTGTCCAGTTATAGGAGGCATCTAGTTATAGGAGGTGTCCAGTTATATGAGATGTCCAGTTATGTGAGGTGTCCAGTTATGTGAGGTGTCCAGTAATGGGAGACATTCAGTTATGTGAGGTGTCCAGTAATGAGAGGTGTCCAGTCATGGGAGGTGTCCTGTTATGTAAGGTGTCCAGTTATAGGAGGTGTCTAGTTATAGGAGGTGTCCAGTTATGAGAGGTGTCCAGTTATGGGAGGTGCCCAGTGATGAGAAGTGTCCAATTATGTAAGGTGTCCAGTTATAGGAGGTGTGCAGTTGGGGTAGGTGTCCAGTTATATAAGTATTTATTTATGGGACCTGTCCAGTTATGAGAGGTACCTGGCACTTTTAGGAGGTGTCCATTAAAGGGAGGTACCAATTTATAGGAGACATCCAGTGATGGATGGGAGATATCCACTTACTGGAGGTGTCCACTCATGAGAGGGATTAGTTTGTGTAAGCTGTTCATTCAACAATCATTCTTTGCTTAATAGTAGGCATGTACATGTAGCTAGAAAAGTAGAAAAATGGTCCATAATATCCAAATTTTACTTGTTGGATGGTTGCCCTTTTGTGTAAATGTAATGCTTCTTTCAACAATTGCCAGATGCTATTTCATAACTTTTTTTGTGTAATAACTTGACAACTGCTCTAAAATAGCCTCATTTTATGTTGGTTATGGACCCATTTTTATTGGCAGCCACCTGTTTCAGTGGATGTTGGAGGTGGAATTCTTACTAGTCCTGTGTAGTTGATTGACACATGTACCTGTCACCAATGTAGATGTGTTAGAGATTGTTGTCTTTTTCATGGTATGATGCTGGAAAGCAGCCCTTCTACTTTAACTCTGAAGTGTAATGTTGAATGTCTTTAGTTTTTATTTACTATATATCACCACACTGGAATCCCAATTTTTCAATCCCTGAACTTTTCAAACCTTTGATATTTCAAATCAATGCCATTTCCTGTAGTGGTTCAAAATTCAAGATTGCACTGAACATATTTTAAGACACCCACTGGTACTGGAAACCTTTGATGTCATATTATCACTGTTATAAAATAGTATCTGCATTAGGTATAATTTATGCATTTCGTAGTTAACTTCTTGTTGCCTTTTCAGGTCACAGAAGCTCTGACACTTGTCATCAAACTAGCAGAATATTTGGCAAAACTCCCAAAGGTCAGAATGTAAAGAAATATCTCATCACAATGAGAGACCTCATTGTCACATCATCATCATTTTATAGTGTTTTGTAGTATTATTATTTTTTTTAGTTTCCAATTATTGCTATTCCATTTTAACCTTTATGACCTATGAAATATTTATATCTTTGTCATCTTCTAAAAATACCAGGATTTTTTTGTTTTTTCTTCTGTTTTATTCTGACAGCCAAACCTATATCGGTAGATTCTGTATTTAGCAGGCAATATAGTAACCTGTCAAGTGGACACTAGCTAGCCAATGTCCCAAAACGTTGTCTCCTTATTCTCTGAAATTGCAGCTCAAGTGGGCACCTCTATCAAGTAAATGTAGTTGCAGACACCAGCAAAGTGGCTGAAGAGGTCATTTGATATATTTAAAACCTGTATAAAAACACTGAGAAAAAGAAAGAAGAATCAATGTATAGTGTACGAGTCAGACTAATGCAGAAGTATCCAACATGAGAATGGCATTTAACACAACATTAACATGTTTTAACGAAGCATATTTTAAGCTGAAACCTCATCTCAGAAGCATTCTCCCAGGGTGTCCATTGAGTAAGGTATGGCTGTCTTCTCAAATGTTCAGCATGATCTTTCTTTGTGCTTACAGATTAGCCTTACAAACACCATGGATCAATTACCTGAAAAAGTACCAGACCTCTTAGTGAGACAAGGTAAACCTGATCAGTTATATGAGATAATTTTTGAAGAATGAGTTTATTCATTAAGTGTGTAGTTTGTGGGGGGATGTTACACCCTGCTCATCACCTGATACATCCTGGTGCAAAACCATTATTTCTTTCCATTGTATCAGCAATACGTGCAGGCAACAATGTATTTTGATCAATGTTATTTTTTAGCAAGAGTTAATAAGGTGGTTTCATGCTGTCTAGTCTTAAGCTTGTTGTGTTTACTCAAACCACTCAAATAAATGAAATTGTTTCACAACATTTTAAAAACATTTTATTTGCAAGCTGGAATACTTTTCGATACTAACCTGGTCCCTCAACACCAGGTCAGAATACATGTACCCCTACATCTTTGTGTGTGTGTTAGCATGCTCACAACGTACAGTTAGTTGGGGAGCAGTGGGAAGAACGGCCTCAGGAGATGCCCCTAATCCCTCCCCTTTTTGAGCCATTCTTCGTGCCACTCCCCAACTAACTGCACACAGCTCTGTCAGCCTCATTATTCCACTCAGTTTTGAACTTTCTGTCGTCATAAGTTGTTCAATCCAGCATCAGTGAATGAGACAGCAGGAAGTTGTCTAAGTTATTACCTATGCAAATTATGGCTCCGTGGTTTTCCTGTCAACTTTTCAAACTTTCTGAATATTAAAAATATAATATATTTATGTTTGCCATATTTTTGGTTTTTATGATTCATTTTTAACAGAGCTATTCAATTAGGTGATAAAAATTGCTTTATTTTGCTTATGCCACCTGCCCAACAAAATCAAAATCCAAAACCAATTCCATTTCGGTTAGCCGCGTTTTCCCGCGCTTGGCGCCAATTACATGCGTTAAGATTGCGTTAACTCGCGTGTTAACTGTTTGCTTATGCCTGCGTGGTACTGTAGTGGGTTCCAGTTCACATTTCATTGTGTTGTTGAGAGCGATTTTTAACTGAGTGTCGAAAGTAATCCGTAATTGTTTCGATTTTACATTACTACGCTCTGTGATTGGTTCATTGGAACAATACACACCACCTATTGAACCAATCAGATGCAAAATCGAAACCAATCGCACTTTGGTCACGTGCTTTTTCCCTCGTTTGGGCTTATTACATGCATTTGCATCGAGTTTTTCATTGGTTCTTTGTGTTCCTTCGTTTCTTGTACTTGGCCGTTGTCATTGCTTTGGTTTTGGTTTCACGAAACACAAATGAAAACCGCTCCAAATATACATGTTTACGTTAACTTTGATTGGTTATTTGTTTGGTGCTGGTTATTATGAACTCATTAAAAAAATTGTGTAAAGTATTTGCATAGGAAAGGAAATACTTGAGAACAAAGGAAATACTTGAGAACAAACAATGCAAGCCTAGGAACAAATTAAAAATAAAGAGGAAGATAAGAAACAATTTGGTGTACTTTTAATTCTGTGAAGCTGGAAGAGCAACAACACATAGAGACAGATGTTGGAATTTCAAGCTTAAATGAAATTTCTAACAGGCTTTCTATTTTGTATCCACTCAGATCTGATCGAGTACATTTTGAATTCTCAAGAGCTCAACACGCCCACGCTGTACCTTAAACGGTACACAACACCAGTGGATATTGTACTGGAAAGTGGTAAGACATTGATGTCTCCTCGTCTAATTTACTGAAAGTGGGCACAATGTAGCACCATGGCGGTCCACCGAGTCGCCTTTTTCGTTTTACGTGCATTTGTCAGGAAGGGATTCAAAATACGTACTGTCATTTGTATCTAGGTAATCAAATAATTTCGAGTGCAATTTAAAATAAATGAGCGCAAGTAAAAAACCAAATCGCAAATTGCACCAGAAAAGCAATTTTCCTGCTTGTTAATAAACGGCCACCTGTCTACATCGTTTTGGCGAGGTTCGACAGTACATGCAATTAATTTCAACTTTCGTCACTCAATTTTAACTTTCTGCATTGTTTGGAATTAATTGACGTGCTCTCAGCTAATCGGCATGCTGAACGTTTTGCAGTTATATTATGAATGGAGAAATGAAATTAAGACAGTGTGCGATCTCTAGTAAATGCACAATTTTGCAATGGAATTTTTCCAGCATGATTCGGACGATATTTGCACCCTTTAACTGAAAATGACGGAGAAACTGTTAATGATCTATGCTGGCTGTCTTTTGAGTTATCATAACGTGATTTTGATTATTAAACGCGTGTTTAAAACCCACTAATCTTTTCCTTTAACATGCTTGTTTTTCAACAGAAATGGCGTGGCCTATGCAGACGCGACTATTTCCATTGAGTTAGCATTGAGTTAGCGTTGTACGTGAAGGATTGTATTTGTTGATGTATTCTGTAAATTGTCACGTGTAAATAAATCTCTGTGTTCTGATGTTCACATTGAGGTATTCAAATACAGATTCAGGAGCAGGCTGAAAATATATTGTTGTGCTAGATGTTTTTTCCTCTTCGAATATTTTTCGCCGCCATGTTAACTTGCTATTATGTGAGTGTTTGGAACATCTTGTTTCATCAGTAGTATTCCAGTTTCGTGACAACTTAATTGCGAGATTTAGAAGGGCGATATTTCGCGATAACTTTTTTCTCGCAACCTCAAATTGTCAAATTTTCGCAATTTTTAATTAAATATTGCGACAACCGCGAAAATACCAAATTGGTCTGTTGACATGCATTGAGGAAGGGCTTTGTACAGAGCATTTTCGTGAGCCGTGACTTGTGATATATTTGAAGGCGATCTTCGTGAAACGTGATTTGCTAAGTCGCCGCGGGTCTTGCTTTTCCACGTTTATTCAGTGCCCGTGAATTGAGGGAGAGTGGAGTTTTCAATTCGTCGTTTTTTAGCCACTAAATATGTCGTAAGAGATGACGAACTAGATTTTTTTTATCATCAAACGTGACCTAGGTTCCCCATACTTCTCTTTAACAACTTCCGAAAACAGGTAATACTGAAAAATCGTTCATAGTTTATGATGACTCCAGTTGTCTTACTTACGCTCTCACACGGCTTTAACTATACAAGTACGTGCCTTTATTTTCCATGGAGTCATTTACGTTTCTTAGTAAAACCGTTTGAGTTGTCATGGGCATGATAAATTACAATAAGCGGTCATGTAATTCATAATGTAATATGTTCTTCGCGTTCTGATTTGAATTTATCTGACGTTCAAAACGAAGTATAAAAATGACAGTTTTTTCCCTCACTGTATACTTGGCACGTGTTGACACAACATAAGTTACATTGGATGATATTGTATCAGCCACATTGCTTTGTAATCGTTTTTTCAAAGAATCATCCTCAAGAGCACTGATGGGCATTTTATTGAAATCAATTCAAGCAAAGTTTAGCAGTTATAGCATCGTTTCACTATTTGGGAGGGATTTGTTAAGTTCAGTTCGGTTTTCTTAAGTGATAACAAATATACTAACTACATAGACGCTAATATGACGGTCTCAAAACCAATTAGTTTTAATTCAATACTTACACGGACGCATAAAAACTAACTTTTGCGGCTTAGAAAGAGTGGGGAGGTAAAACTCGTTAAAAACATTCTTTTTAAAGGAATACCGAGACTTGACGAAATTTCTGGAATTTCACAAACGAAGAGAAAAGGAAGAAAAACAAATATGTTAGTGAATAGTTGTAATGTCGACACATTGTCATGAACTAAAATCTACGCTTTCATATACAAACAAGAAAATTAAACATTGATAGCTAAAATCTAGTCTGAAATAGATAACATTTCCACATTTTTAAAGCCATTCCAAATAGTCGTCTTTAAAATGACGCAGTTTTTTGTAATTGTGTACACTAGCGATGAAACTCTGTCAGTTTAAGAACGGATCCACTCTTGAAAGCGATTTTAATACGGCGCATTTGAATAGCGCCCTAGTTTCGATGGCCGCTGTATGAGTGGAGGGAGTGATAAACATCCAACGCGAACCTCGGTTTCAACTGAAACCGCGTTCGTTTTACGTAAATTCGAGCTCACACACCTGGATAGCAAAACATAGCGAAAAACTAACATTTGCTGTTAACTTATCATGGCTTTTTGAAAAGGAAGCGCAGATTTACGGAAAACAAGCTAAACGAAAAAAATTGAAGAAAGGTTTGTCAAAAAGGCAAAAAGAAATGTCAACGTTTACGAAAACTGATAACATCTAGAACTGTCGAAAATATATATTATATATTTTGAACTAATTCCATTTTGCCGTTTCGTAAATTGTCATTGTTCAATGTTTGAACAAGTTTGTCGCGCTTTGAAGATTTATCGTTGCGGGGTACTTGCTTTGATGAAATTCGTTTCCGATATGACTGTTTATTTAGTTTATGGTAATTTTTGATATTTCATCATTAAATAAGCGTCACTTAACTTATGTGTCATGCTTTAAACAAACAGCACATAATCATGACACATCCGAACATCCCCCAGTTTCAGCATAAAAGCAAACGGTGTTGGGATATTTGACTGCATGTCTTGCGGAGCATTTTAAAGTCATAGTGATAATATATATCAGAATACGCCCGTGAACAATTTCGAACCTCTATGATGGCAAATTGTTCTTCAAACCAAAGTGACCCAGAAAGCTGTAACATTTCTTTCTTTTGCCGTCACGATCCTTCACTTCTTCTTCAAGTACCGAAGAATCTCTACTACACCTACATCGTAACAGCGACCTTCAACGCGCTATTTTCATTAACAGCATTTCTTGGAAATGCTCTTGTCCTGACAGCTTTGGTAAGAACCCGCCTCCTACACTCGCCTTCTAAAGCGCTGCTCCGAAGCCTGGCATTGTCGGATCTTTGTGTTGGTTTGTTCGTACAACCCGTGTACATTGCTTACTGCTTGTCTGGCGTCGTGGGAAACGGCTGGGTTCGTTGTGCGTCGTGGATCGTTTATCCCGTACTCAGCGACTACTTTATCGCTGTGTCTTTCTTCACCATGATTGCCATAAGTATCGATAGATACTTGGCATTACATCTTCGCTCGCGTTATCGCTCAGCTGTAACAATAAGGAAGGCAAACATCACGGTTCTGACGCTGTGGATTACAAGTTTGATTTTCCCAATCACGCGCTTGGTAAAAGGAAACCTCTCGGTTGCTTTATCCATTGCCTTTTTTGCGTTATTTGTGCTGATACCAACTTTTACACACTTAAAAATTCATCGCATGTTACAGAACCAAGGGAGACAAGTTTCAAACCAATTTTTCCTACACCGCGAGGAAAGCTACCTTTCAATTAACAAATACAAGAAATCCGTTTCTGCAATGCGTTACATCTATATTGCGTTAATGTTATGTTATATTCCCATCACTTTTGTAGCCGTTCTATATATCAAGAATGATTCGACTATGCGGAAGTATCTCTTGCCAGTGGGACATTTTGCGACCACGCTGCTGTTCTTTAACTCTTCTTTAAACCCAGTTTTGTATTGTGTTCAGATCAGGCAGGTTAGAGGAGCCATGTGGAACCTTGTAAATAACTTGATTCCTTGCTGTTAGGTTTTGATGATACAGAACGTGCCAACTAGGGTAGGCTAATACTGACAAATATATGATTAAATAATTAGGGACAGTAACAGCGACATGTAGAAACACACTGAATGATGGTCATGGCAACCTTGAATGACATTTCCTGAAAATCTCTATTGAAGTCACCAGTTCTTTCCTCTTTGTAGTGAAGTTGTGTCCAGAGGAAGTTGTAAATATTCTAAGACTCTAATATAAGAACATTAAACAACGCCGGAAAATAACCTTTCTCTCTGCTAAAAACTTCATTACGCCAGTGTTAAACTTTGAAGAATTTTCCGAGTTTTCTCATAAACGTTTAAACAAAAATCGTGATTTTTTTTAGGGTGCTATAGTGGCGAAACATTTAACCAATAGAAAAAATTAAAACTCCAATCACTTACCGTGTAGCACTAAATTTTTGCGTGTTCTAATTTTTGCGATTTTTGCCGTTTTTTCCACGATCCGCAATAAAAGTTCGCGCACAAAAAATTCCCGCAAAAATTTACTCCAGTGACGAAATTATACATAAAAATATCACAAGTGGAATCTTGTTGCTGCCATTTATTTAAAACGACTTTTTGTTCAGAAACAAACCGATGAAAAGAGAAACAAAACGTTCAGAAATAAAAAAGGTTTACAGGAAAGAATCGTCTGAAGGTACTCCATTGAGAAGAGCATCTACAATTCCGCACAAGAGCACGATGTAATTGTGATAGAGTGAAACTGATTACTGGATTACTGTGTTTTACATCTCTACGTGTTTTCTCACTTGTCAATTGCATGAAATTTTCGTAATTTCAGTCAAAGGCGACTTTCCTAAAGCCGCAAAAATTAGTACCCAGCAAGAAAAACCAGTTTTTTTACGATCGCAAAAATTAGTTCCCGCAGAATACAACAAATCGCCAATTCGCAAAAATAAACACCCACAAAAATTTAGTGTCGCACGTTATATTCACAGTAACCTGTAAACTTTGAGTTTGTCATGGATCATCAGCCATGTTTTGGACGTTAAAAAAGCGAAATAAAACATAACCACCCAAAGTTTGGAACACTGAAAAATTTAAAGGTTCACGGGCAACACAAACAAGAAAAATCAGCAAAATAGAAGCAACCAAGAAGAATTAAAGTGTTTCAGATTTGCTAAATTGGATAAATATTTCCTTCAAAGCTCTTTGTAAGTACGAAGAGTTTACGAAGATAATGACGACAAATGACTGTGCTTTATGGTCACTTAAAGAAATGGTGGCTTTTAACCTCCTGTTGGATAACTCGACATTCTTCTCAACAAAAATAAATAATTTTACCGTAATCAACAAAGCTTTCGTAATATTTATTGTGTTTAATCAAGGGAAAATTAAGCTCTCTTGATTTTCTTTATGTTTTCATTCGCTTTTGTTAGAAAACTGACAGATTTTAAGTGTTTTCCGGCGCTGTAAGAAAATAAAGACATATTGTGAAGCCCTCTATATTGTAAACCATATATATGTCACTTCTCAAAATTTGCCTTAGCAGCTTCACTCGACAATCTGTGATCTTCTTTTCGCGAAATTTTAGTAAAGGAAGGAGAAAAGACGTCTTTTAACTTGTTTGCCTTCCTCTACCGCCTTCTCTCCATCCTTTGGGCTTCAGTTTGCAAAATATATTTGAGTATGAGACAGAAAATACAGATATCAGTAATGCATATATGTAAAAGGTTATCGGAGAGGAAAGTTGCGTCACATGCAACATGAGTTGCCGGGTAAACTTCCGAGATTAAGCAACACCCTGTAACCATAACAGACAACAGTTTCTTTTTTTGCGATGTTTCTGAGAAACTCGACAGAACTATTGATTCTTTTTGAATTAACTTCGCACCCTAAGAAACACTCTGAACGCTTAGGAGGTCATATCGCACGTTCTTAGCCAAGTCTTAGACTTCGTACTGCGTGTTAAGTTTTTTTGATTTAGGTTTCTGAAAACTAATTTATGTTAGTTTACTAAATTGTTTTTTGGGGGTGGCCAACCTATGAGGAAACTTGTTCCTTTTTCTTGGCCTTCCCCTCAGTATTATGTTAATTATTTATATTTTGCTGATAAATAGGCTGGTAGCCCCTACTTGCCTTTTAAGCTCGGTTAACTTTACTCCTCTGTCAAGTGTTGAGCGGACTACTTTAAAAGCCCATTTTAGCAATACAACTTAGTGACGTATATCGGGCAAAAAAGGTGTCTGGTATAATTAGGAATGAGGTTTACCTGGTTTTCATTCCTGTAAGACGAGAACCTAAAGTGTAACAGGAGAAAGAGATTTCGATTGTCGGTGATAACGGACCCAATGGTCCTATCGATACATCGAGAAGCCCGCCTTACATTTCTGCACATCCAGATTGTGTCAGGAAAGCCAAAATCTTCAACCTGTGGAAGGAATTTAGCACTGGCGCAAGAGGGACATTAAGTGCATACATGACAGCTCCAGAATACCTGTTCTGATCTGAATAGCCCAATTTTCTAAGAATACCTGTGGTTGGACTTCTCAGAACTGACTGACACGGCTCCTTCAGCCCAGGGGCCACCATATGATCAAAAGCAAGAGAATACGATCTGTCAAAAGTCAGTGACCAACATTTTATCTTGAAATAAAAACAACCTAACCAGAACGTTCAGAAGCATATCGCCTAGGTGATATGTTTCTGGTACGTTACGTCCGTACGTTACTATACTTGATTCCTTACATTGCGTCAGCATTGCAAGAACAACCTCCTTCCCAGGCTCCTTTTTCTTCCTCATATTCACAAGAAGAATAAAAGGCAAGTTTTATTTGAGTAACTGAATTATGAGAAGGCTAATCGACTGAAGATTGTGAATCGTTTTTTCTAGAATCCCGGGACTAGAATAAAGAACACCGTTTTCATTTGTGCGAGAAAGCGCAGTACTTCACGGCTACGTAACAACGTTTCCACTCGTTTAGACTGGGAACGATAGTATGTCAGTATACTTGTCAGCGGCAACATGTAGCTCCAAATGCGTCGTATCCAGTAGCAACGCGCGCCAGGATAAAACTAAAATCAAAAGACGATAGAGCAAAAAGAGTTGTACTGTTTTTGTAGTCTTGTTGTTGTAAGTTTGTCGTTCACAGCCAAGCGCCATGAGTGAAATAGAAGCTCTCGAACTTCACGCAATCATTGGATTTGCAGGTACGTTCAAATTATTTAACTCAAGACTCCTTTTTGCTTGTACAGCAATGACTTGTCTTGTAAGGTTTTAGACTTCTAGGCTGCACGGATTGGAAATGTTATAATGCTTAAGCTTACATTATGGAAACGAACGTTTTACAGGTGAAGTTCCAGGAGGCCTGTTGGTCAACAGCGACAGAGAGCATCTTATCTATCCACTTGGCAACAAAATCGTTGTGGAGGAAATAAAAGAGGAGAAAAAGGCGGCTTCAGGAGGTAGAGGATCCGCGACAAGAGTTAACGGTAAAAGCAAGAATACACCCGAAGATCGAAGGATGCGTCAGAGATTATTGTCAGGGCAAGGCGACAAAGGCCTGGCAGTTTCTTGTCTAGCAGTTTCCAAGAGTGGGAAGTATCTGGCATCTGGCGAAAAGACTCACATGGGATTTAAAGCCGATGTCATTGTGTGGGATTTTGAGAGGGGCACCATAAAACATACCCTGGATCCACTGCACAAAGTTAAAGTGGAAGCACTCGCGTTCTCTCCAAATGACAAATATTTAGTGTCCCTTGGAGGGCAGGATGATGGATGGTAAGTCAACTGTATTGAACGAGGTTGCATGTGATAGCAGAAATTATCATCAAGGCTAGTGGTTGTGTTGCCATACAGACAACAGAGACCTAATTGATAATTTTGCTATCAGGGTAAAACCTCATCTTTTATGAAGTGTGTAATTGTTCATTAATCAAAATTATAACAAACTTCATGGCTCTGATCAGCTATCAGTAACCCCTGTTTTTGCCCAAATAGGATATTGCACACATTGCAAGTGTAATCAGACATTTTATTATATGGCTAGCTCTGTGAATGGGCAAGATGAATCAAATCCTGCACCGTGATTGGCTACCCGAGTGGGCAAGATGGAGCTATCTTGCCCGCTCGGGACTGCCCATCGTGTCCCACAAGAAAAATTTCCCCGAAGCTTGTTCAGTCAAGATGGCTGGATATTGGCTCATTCTTTTTTTGCGAGTTTATGGACCTTGACTTCGTCTTGGTCCATAAACTCATAAAAAAAAGAACTTGGCCAATATCCAGCCATCTTGACCTCACAATTGGTCAATAACCCATATGTATATGGCATGCAAGTAATTGGACAGTATGTGTCATTTTGCATGGGCTGCATTTTGGACAGTTAAACATGCTAGTAAGAATAAGTTCTCTTTCTTGTGTATCTTGCTCAGAGACAAACTCAACTTTCATAAGTGTATGGTTATGGTAATTAGAGATGGTTCCAAAAAGCAATTTTGAGGAGGGTTTAAGCCATAGGCCTCTTTGTTGTAGTGGAGAGGGCATCTGCCCTGGTAGATGTTTGCTATTTGACGCATTTTGTAAGACCTAGAGTTTTATCAGCATGCTGAACTGNACTATACAAGTACGTGCCTTTATTTTCCATGGAGTCATTTACGTTTCTTAGTAAAACCGTTTGAGTTGTCATGGGCATGATAAATTACAATAAGCGGTCATGTAATTCATAATGTAATATGTTCTTCGCGTTCTGATTTGAATTTATCTGACGTTCAAAACGAAGTATAAAAATGACAGTTTTTTCCCTCACTGTATACTTGGCACGTGTTGACACAACATAAGTTACATTGGATGATATTGTATCAGCCACATTGCTTTGTAATCGTTTTTTCAAAGAATCATCCTCAAGAGCACTGATGGGCATTTTATTGAAATCAATTCAAGCAAAGTTTAGCAGTTATAGCATCGTTTCACTATTTGGGAGGGATTTGTTAAGTTCAGTTCGGTTTTCTTAAGTGATAACAAATATACTAACTACATAGACGCTAATATGACGGTCTCAAAACCAATTAGTTTTAATTCAATACTTACACGGACGCATAAAAACTAACTTTTGCGGCTTAGAAAGAGTGGGGAGGTAAAACTCGTTAAAAACATTCTTTTTAAAGGAATACCGAGACTTGACGAAATTTCTGGAATTTCACAAACGAAGAGAAAAGGAAGAAAAACAAATATGTTAGTGAATAGTTGTAATGTCGACACATTGTCATGAACTAAAATCTACGCTTTCATATACAAACAAGAAAATTAAACATTGATAGCTAAAATCTAGTCTGAAATAGATAACATTTCCACATTTTTAAAGCCATTCCAAATAGTCGTCTTTAAAATGACGCAGTTTTTTGTAATTGTGTACACTAGCGATGAAACTCTGTCAGTTTAAGAACGGATCCACTCTTGAAAGCGATTTTAATACGGCGCATTTGAATAGCGCCCTAGTTTCGATGGCCGCTGTATGAGTGGAGGGAGTGATAAACATCCAACGCGAACCTCGGTTTCAACTGAAACCGCGTTCGTTTTACGTAAATTCGAGCTCACACACCTGGATAGCAAAACATAGCGAAAAACTAACATTTGCTGTTAACTTATCATGGCTTTTTGAAAAGGAAGCGCAGATTTACGGAAAACAAGCTAAACGAAAAAAATTGAAGAAAGGTTTGTCAAAAAGGCAAAAAGAAATGTCAACGTTTACGAAAACTGATAACATCTAGAACTGTCGAAAATATATATTATATATTTTGAACTAATTCCATTTTGCCGTTTCGTAAATTGTCATTGTTCAATGTTTGAACAAGTTTGTCGCGCTTTGAAGATTTATCGTTGCGGGGTACTTGCTTTGATGAAATTCGTTTCCGATATGACTGTTTATTTAGTTTATGGTAATTTTTGATATTTCATCATTAAATAAGCGTCACTTAACTTATGTGTCATGCTTTAAACAAACAGCACATAATCATGACACATCCGAACATCCCCCAGTTTCAGCATAAAAGCAAACGGTGTTGGGATATTTGACTGCATGTCTTGCGGAGCATTTTAAAGTCATAGTGATAATATATATCAGAATACGCCCGTGAACAATTTCGAACCTCTATGATGGCAAATTGTTCTTCAAACCAAAGTGACCCAGAAAGCTGTAACATTTCTTTCTTTTGCCGTCACGATCCTTCACTTCTTCTTCAAGTACCGAAGAATCTCTACTACACCTACATCGTAACAGCGACCTTCAACGCGCTATTTTCATTAACAGCATTTCTTGGAAATGCTCTTGTCCTGACAGCTTTGGTAAGAACCCGCCTCCTACACTCGCCTTCTAAAGCGCTGCTCCGAAGCCTGGCATTGTCGGATCTTTGTGTTGGTTTGTTCGTACAACCCGTGTACATTGCTTACTGCTTGTCTGGCGTCGTGGGAAACGGCTGGGTTCGTTGTGCGTCGTGGATCGTTTATCCCGTACTCAGCGACTACTTTATCGCTGTGTCTTTCTTCACCATGATTGCCATAAGTATCGATAGATACTTGGCATTACATCTTCGCTCGCGTTATCGCTCAGCTGTAACAATAAGGAAGGCAAACATCACGGTTCTGACGCTGTGGATTACAAGTTTGATTTTCCCAATCACGCGCTTGGTAAAAGGAAACCTCTCGGTTGCTTTATCCATTGCCTTTTTTGCGTTATTTGTGCTGATACCAACTTTTACACACTTAAAAATTCATCGCATGTTACAGAACCAAGGGAGACAAGTTTCAAACCAATTTTTCCTACACCGCGAGGAAAGCTACCTTTCAATTAACAAATACAAGAAATCCGTTTCTGCAATGCGTTACATCTATATTGCGTTAATGTTATGTTATATTCCCATCACTTTTGTAGCCGTTCTATATATCAAGAATGATTCGACTATGCGGAAGTATCTCTTGCCAGTGGGACATTTTGCGACCACGCTGCTGTTCTTTAACTCTTCTTTAAACCCAGTTTTGTATTGTGTTCAGATCAGGCAGGTTAGAGGAGCCATGTGGAACCTTGTAAATAACTTGATTCCTTGCTGTTAGGTTTTGATGATACAGAACGTGCCAACTAGGGTAGGCTAATACTGACAAATATATGATTAAATAATTAGGGACAGTAACAGCGACATGTAGAAACACACTGAATGATGGTCATGGCAACCTTGAATGACATTTCCTGAAAATCTCTATTGAAGTCACCAGTTCTTTCCTCTTTGTAGTGAAGTTGTGTCCAGAGGAAGTTGTAAATATTCTAAGACTCTAATATAAGAACATTAAACAACGCCGGAAAATAACCTTTCTCTCTGCTAAAAACTTCATTACGCCAGTGTTAAACTTTGAAGAATTTTCCGAGTTTTCTCATAAACGTTTAAACAAAAATCGTGATTTTTTTTAGGGTGCTATAGTGGCGAAACATTTAACCAATAGAAAAAATTAAAACTCCAATCACTTACCGTGTAGCACTAAATTTTTGCGTGTTCTAATTTTTGCGATTTTTGCCGTTTTTTCCACGATCCGCAATAAAAGTTCGCGCACAAAAAATTCCCGCAAAAATTTACTCCAGTGACGAAATTATACATAAAAATATCACAAGTGGAATCTTGTTGCTGCCATTTATTTAAAACGACTTTTTGTTCAGAAACAAACCGATGAAAAGAGAAACAAAACGTTCAGAAATAAAAAAGGTTTACAGGAAAGAATCGTCTGAAGGTACTCCATTGAGAAGAGCATCTACAATTCCGCACAAGAGCACGATGTAATTGTGATAGAGTGAAACTGATTACTGGATTACTGTGTTTTACATCTCTACGTGTTTTCTCACTTGTCAATTGCATGAAATTTTCGTAATTTCAGTCAAAGGCGACTTTCCTAAAGCCGCAAAAATTAGTACCCAGCAAGAAAAACCAGTTTTTTTACGATCGCAAAAATTAGTTCCCGCAGAATACAACAAATCGCCAATTCGCAAAAATAAACACCCACAAAAATTTAGTGTCGCACGTTATATTCACAGTAACCTGTAAACTTTGAGTTTGTCATGGATCATCAGCCATGTTTTGGACGTTAAAAAAGCGAAATAAAACATAACCACCCAAAGTTTGGAACACTGAAAAATTTAAAGGTTCACGGGCAACACAAACAAGAAAAATCAGCAAAATAGAAGCAACCAAGAAGAATTAAAGTGTTTCAGATTTGCTAAATTGGATAAATATTTCCTTCAAAGCTCTTTGTAAGTACGAAGAGTTTACGAAGATAATGACGACAAATGACTGTGCTTTATGGTCACTTAAAGAAATGGTGGCTTTTAACCTCCTGTTGGATAACTCGACATTCTTCTCAACAAAAATAAATAATTTTACCGTAATCAACAAAGCTTTCGTAATATTTATTGTGTTTAATCAAGGGAAAATTAAGCTCTCTTGATTTTCTTTATGTTTTCATTCGCTTTTGTTAGAAAACTGACAGATTTTAAGTGTTTTCCGGCGCTGTAAGAAAATAAAGACATATTGTGAAGCCCTCTATATTGTAAACCATATATATGTCACTTCTCAAAATTTGCCTTAGCAGCTTCACTCGACAATCTGTGATCTTCTTTTCGCGAAATTTTAGTAAAGGAAGGAGAAAAGACGTCTTTTAACTTGTTTGCCTTCCTCTACCGCCTTCTCTCCATCCTTTGGGCTTCAGTTTGCAAAATATATTTGAGTATGAGACAGAAAATACAGATATCAGTAATGCATATATGTAAAAGGTTATCGGAGAGGAAAGTTGCGTCACATGCAACATGAGTTGCCGGGTAAACTTCCGAGATTAAGCACCACCCTGTAACCATAACAGACAACAGTTTCTTTTTTTGCGATGTTTCTGAGAAACTCGACAGAACTATTGATTCTTTTTGAACTAACTTCGCACCCTAAGAAACACTCTGAACGCTTAGGAGGTCATATCGCACGTTCTTAGCCAAGTCTTAGACTTCGTACTGCGTGTTAAGTTTTTTTGATTTAGGTTTCTGAAAACTAATTTATGTTAGTTTACTAAATTGTTTTTTGGGGGTGGCCAACCTATGAGGAAACTTGTTCCTTTTTCTTGGCCTTCCCCTCAGTATTATGTTAATTATTTATATTTTGCTGATAAATAGGCTGGTAGCCCCTACTTGCCTTTTAAGCTCGGTTAACTTTACTCCTCTGTCAAGTGTTGAGCGGACTACTTTAAAAGCCCATTTTAGCAATACAACTTAGTGACGTATATCGGGCAAAAAAGGTGTCTGGTATAATTAGGAATGAGGTTTACCTGGTTTTCATTCCTGTAAGACGAGAACCTAAAGTGTAACAGGAGAAAGAGATTTCGATTGTCGGTGATAACGGACCCAATGGTCCTATCGATACATCGAGAAGCCCGCCTTACATTTCTGCACATCCAGATTGTGTCAGGAAAGCCAAAATCTTCAACCTGTGGAAGGAATTTAGCACTGGCGCAAGAGGGACATTAAGTGCATACATGACAGCTCCAGAATACCTGTTCTGATCTGAATAGCCCAATTTTCTAAGAATACCTGTGGTTGGACTTCTCAGAACTGACTGACACGGCTCCTTCAGCCCAGGGGCCACCATATGATCAAAAGCAAGAGAATACGATCTGTCAAAAGTCAGTGACCAACATTTTATCTTGAAATAAAAACAACCTAACCAGAACGTTCAGAAGCATATCGCCTAGGTGATATGTTTCTGGTACGTTACGTCCGTACGTTACTATACTTGATTCCTTACATTGCGTCAGCATTGCAAGAACAACCTCCTTCCCAGGCTCCTTTTTCTTCCTCATATTCACAAGAAGAATAAAAGGCAAGTTTTATTTGAGTAACTGAATTATGAGAAGGCTAATCGACTGAAGATTGTGAATCGTTTTTTCTAGAATCCCGGGACTAGAATAAAGAACACCGTTTTCATTTGTGCGAGAAAGCGCAGTACTTCACGGCTACGTAACAACGTTTCCACTCGTTTAGACTGGGAACGATAGTATGTCAGTATACTTGTCAGCGGCAACATGTAGCTCCAAATGCGTCGTATCCAGTAGCAACGCGCGCCAGGATAAAACTAAAATCAAAAGACGATAGAGCAAAAAGAGTTGTACTGTTTTTGTAGTCTTGTTGTTGTAAGTTTGTCGTTCACAGCCAAGCGCCATGAGTGAAATAGAAGCTCTCGAACTTCACGCAATCATTGGATTTGCAGGTACGTTCAAATTATTTAACTCAAGACTCCTTTTTGCTTGTACAGCAATGACTTGTCTTGTAAGGTTTTAGACTTCTAGGCTGCACGGATTGGAAATGTTATAATGCTTAAGCTTACATTATGGAAACGAACGTTTTACAGGTGAAGTTCCAGGAGGCCTGTTGGTCAACAGCGACAGAGAGCATCTTATCTATCCACTTGGCAACAAAATCGTTGTGGAGGAAATAAAAGAGGAGAAAAAGGCGGCTTCAGGAGGTAGAGGATCCGCGACAAGAGTTAACGGTAAAAGCAAGAATACACCCGAAGATCGAAGGATGCGTCAGAGATTATTGTCAGGGCAAGGCGACAAAGGCCTGGCAGTTTCTTGTCTAGCAGTTTCCAAGAGTGGGAAGTATCTGGCATCTGGCGAAAAGACTCACATGGGATTTAAAGCCGATGTCATTGTGTGGGATTTTGAGAGGGGCACCATAAAACATACCCTGGATCCACTGCACAAAGTTAAAGTGGAAGCACTCGCGTTCTCTCCAAATGACAAATATTTAGTGTCCCTTGGAGGGCAGGATGATGGATGGTAAGTCAACTGTATTGAACGAGGTTGCATGTGATAGCAGAAATTATCATCAAGGCTAGTGGTTGTGTTGCCATACAGACAACAGAGACCTAATTGATAATTTTGCTATCAGGGTAAAACCTCATCTTTTATGAAGTGTGTAATTGTTCATTAATCAAAATTATAACAAACTTCATGGCTCTGATCAGCTATCAGTAACCCCTGTTTTTGCCCAAATAGGATATTGCACACATTGCAAGTGTAATCAGACATTTTATTATATGGCTAGCTCTGTGAATGGGCAAGATGAATCAAATCCTGCACCGTGATTGGCTACCCGAGTGGGCAAGATGGAGCTATCTTGCCCGCTCGGGACTGCCCATCGTGTCCCACAAGAAAAATTTCCCCGAAGCTTGTTCAGTCAAGATGGCTGGATATTGGCTCATTCTTTTTTTGCGAGTTTATGGACCTTGACTTCGTCTTGGTCCATAAACTCATAAAAAAAAGAACTTGGCCAATATCCAGCCATCTTGACCTCACAATTGGTCAATAACCCATATGTATATGGCATGCAAGTAATTGGACAGTATGTGTCATTTTGCATGGGCTGCATTTTGGACAGTTAAACATGCTAGTAAGAATAAGTTCTCTTTCTTGTGTATCTTGCTCAGAGACAAACTCAACTTTCATAAGTGTATGGTTATGGTAATTAGAGATGGTTCCAAAAAGCAATTTTGAGGAGGGTTTAAGCCATAGGCCTCTTTGTTGTAGTGGAGAGGGCATCTGCCCTGGTAGATGTTTGCTATTTGACGCATTTTGTAAGACCTAGAGTTTTATCAGCATGCTGAACTG